CACACCGGAGACTAAATTTGTTCGTTAACAGTGACAAATTGTCAAAGCCATGTTCAAAAAACGAGATAAAAAAGGTTTTAGTGAACATTTTTCGAAGTGATTCGTATACTTGTTACCGAAATACAAAGTCGCAAGAAGGATGCGCTGCGAGTTTTTTTTTAAATTTGGAATTGAAAATCCAAAAGAATAAAAAAAATGTATACTTAAACGTTTAGTTATGTGTTTATGCAATAACATTATTTAAACAAAATGAATAAGTCATAAAACATCAAAAAAAATTTTTGTACTAAAAAGGTTTTGCACCAAATTCATCATCACTTCAAATTATTCTGTACTTTAGTGTAGAACACTATTTTTGAAACTTATATAAGTAGACCTTTGAAGTATAAGCAATATCTTAAAAAATAATTATTAAAATCGGTCAAAGGTACTGGTAAAGAAAATTCGTTTAACAAACAAAAAAAAGAACATCTTTGAAGTAGGTCAAAAAATCTTACACTTATAAAAAAAGAAAACAGAATATTATTTACATATATATCAAAATAACTTTTGGGACTTAGATAAACTGAATTTAAAATTTAAAAACCCCCAACACAATAACTTATTCATTGAGGCCATTTCAATAAGCCTAAACACGGTATCTCTGCAGTATTTTAGAAAAGAGTTGAGAATCTTGGAGATTCCAGGTGACGCTGCAGCATGAGACCTAGGATACCATATCGTTGAAAATAAATTCATACTAAATTAAAATAAGCTCATCCGTTTGGGGGCTACGATGTCACAGATACACAGATATACAGATACACACGTTAAACTTATAACACCCCTCTTTTACGTCTGGGGTTAATAAAATGTCGTTCTAGAATGATTGAAGGATAGAAATCTAAAAAAATATATGAGATTTGCATATTATAATTCTACGACATAATTATTTTGTCAAATCAATAGAAATTCAAAGATTGTTGAATTTCATTATTTCTAAACCTAGTTCTATGTAAAAAATCAAATCAATGCGTAGCTTCTTTGACTGCATGAAATAAGGATAAACCAATAAACACATATGTATAAAATCCCGCTTATATAAAATTCTGAGTCTCGTACTTTTGATATATTCATGTGCGAATCATTTTCCAACATGATTACCACTTGTCTTACGGTGAAGGAAAATATTATGAGAAAACCTGTATGTCTGAGAGAACATAGCAAGTTATCGAAAAACATGTGCAGTCCGCCAACCCGCACTTGGCCAGCGTGGTGGACTACGGCCTGATTCCCCTCGTACTGAAGGGAGGCCCGTGCCCAGCAGTGGGACGTTAAAAACAAGGGCTAAATACAACAAAAACATTCTCTCATTTTATCTATGTTTTTTATAGGATTAGAAAGTAAGAAAGCAAAACTTTTAAATGGGGTGTTCATATTACTTCTGGTGGTACATTCCTCTTTATTCTTAACTTAATATTTATGTAGGTATATGAATATAAAAAAATGTACATTTTTTGGGCGACGTAAACGAAACTTGGCAGGCCTAAACTTTGCGCTAGGCAGCCATCGTAATTATTATTAAATCAACTAACAATCTACTGGGGTCAAATGAGTAATATTTCAGCTAAATTTTCTGAATCGTCGGAACAAGCTTTATCGCGTTACGGGGAAAACGCTAGGAAATCAAATAAAAGCTCAAATGGTCCTACAATTCAATTTTCACTACTGGGGGGTGGGTACCGGGCGGAAACACGATGCAATCCTGTGCACGTTTTAAGGAAACATCGAAATTGTGTATTTACTCTACTACGTTTCGGTTGACTCCTTAAGCGTAAACTCTACAGAAATAAAGCTCTATAAATTATAAACACGTAAGAAGCTCAGGCTTGAATACTTAATTAGCTGTCAATTGAAAACGTTTTAATGAATTTTCTGATATACTCGTACATAGAAATTAATGGCAAATGGTGGTGGCTTGTTAGAAAATAAGTGTATTAATTGTTTTAAGAAAAATATATATAAAATTGAACTGCTTATCGATTTTAGATCACTCTGCAACATAAAGACGGTAGATTACTCTATAATACTTTCTACATAATTAAAAAACAACCTTTTTAAGTACTTAATTTTTCAGATTAATGAAAATTATTTTACGTAATATTAAATATATATATATATATATATATATATATATATATATATATACATATATATAATAATTAAATAAAGTGCTAGTCCTAATTTTTGATGTTTGCAACATATTCAATTACATCTACTGTATCGAAACACACCCCCATACTTACTTTCCATAAAGATAAATACTCAACATGAATAACTTCCATATAAATTATAAATACAAATAATACCAAGAGGTAAATTATTTCCTTGGCTGTGTGTAAACTTAATCAAAAATGACTTTTTCAACTTAATTCAGGATTATTAAAAACGAAGCGAGAAGCACAAATAGATCTATCCTGTATAAGTTACTGTAGTTTTTTAACTATTCCACGGGAACTCTTTAATTTTCCGGGATGAAAAGTATCTAAAATGTTGATCGGGGATATAAGGTACCACCATGAAAAATTTTACTAAAATTGGTCCAACAGTTTCGGAGATTAGCCCGTACAAACACATAAACAGACAAGGAAAAAAAAATTGAAAAAAATCTGGATTTGTTCTATTTCTCTTCATGCATCCCCTTGACTCGGATTTTAGCATGTTTTTCTATGTACAGACATTCGACCTCTACAGTTTTATTATATGTATAGATATGAATTGTGTAAACAACATTTTGTTTATTTAACATAATATATATTTGACGCTCCTTTTCATTAAATATATGTTTAAGACACTATTCATTAAATTGAAATAAGTAAAAAGTTTAAAATTTTATGTCTAACCTGTGTACAACTAGTACATAATAAAAAGTGTTTTCGCAATATAACAGTTTCTTTTCTCTTTCCTATAAGAATAATTTGTCTCTTCACAGAACGAGCATTAAATAAGAAAATAAAATATCAAATGTCATGAGTCTCGTAATAGTTCAAATAGAAAATTATAAAATTAGAGCATATCGCAATGCAGTAAATACTTACGTAAGTTGTTAAAGCTGACGATAACGAGCACTTTCTAAGTAAAATCAATAGAACAATAACTTCACCAAAACTAATAAGAAATATTACTATAAAACAAATAACACATGAACACAATTTGACAGAAAAATCGAAATGTTTATTGCACTTCGGAAAAGATCGCGTGAAATTTTTTGTACCAGAGACGTGCACCCTACACGAGGGATGGCGAGAAACTAACTCAAAGGGTAGCTTGGGGTAAAATAGGGAGAGAGGGGGCGAAACAGACGGCCGGCTGAATGGGACAGACCCGTCGCCATTTTCATTCCACTATGTAGGTTGTATAGTAATAAACGACTCACTTTATTAAGTTTAAACAAACTTTGTATAGTTTGAAAGGGTTTCTTAATCTGTTTTATGATGTTCACAGGTCGTTTATAAGGGACCTAAGATATAAGATTATTCTGCCTAAAACACTTTCATGAGTGAACTAAGTTATGTATAGGAAAATCCTGAAGGGTCATTTCTCATGTAAACGTGTGGCAATTACGTTGGCGGCACACGATTACTACTTCGGTTCATATAATATGTATGATTAAATCAATACTTATATATAGTTTTTTTCTTGAAGCAGTATTGTTTTTATATTAGCTATATAATAATAATAAATTGCTTTCTGAGTTCTGGAAAAAAGTTGTAGATAATAAAAATGTTCATTTTAATAGTAGATAGTAAAAAAATTTAGAGCTTCATACTTTCACTTTTATTATTTAACGAATAACCACCGCGAATTTTATCGTGTTGAGAAACAAAAACAAATCTATCTCGCATGAACCGTTAATTTTTTCGGGATAAAGAGTAGCCTATGTGCTATTCCATACTATAATATATCTCTATACATCCAGACCCGTTCATTCCTTGTGGCTTGAATGAGTAACAAACATCCATGAGCCGTTCTGGCGTGATTGAGCAACAAATATCCATACAAACATTTTAACTTTCACGTTTATAATATTAGTAACAAGTAAGATGGGATTACTCAGCATCATGCTTCACGATAGACCGACGACACAAAAAAGTTTTGTCAAGAAAGGAACCCACGACCAAGTCGGTCAGAACATGTTACATCTAGGTATTCGTTTTTTATATTACTGAATTAGATATTTTATTGATATTTTAACCTTCTAATAATAGACAAAGTGTCTGGGCCTGAACTAAAAGCCGCGTGTTTTATTCCCACATAATATGTACTCTATTATCTACATATTATCTACTATATTAGTGATCGAGTAGTGAGTGAGTATTCGTAAAAAAAACTAGATATTTATTGCAAATATCTAATCATTTATTACTTGTAAGTATTATTTATTAAAATCTGTAAAACGTATTCTCATAAAATTACAATAGATACAATAACTATTATTTTACTAAAACAATAAAGTTATAATCAAAATAACAAAGTAAAAGCTATTAAAAGTTTTAAAGAAAATGGCAAATCTTCGCGGAGGGCAGCAAAAATAAAAGATTGTTTAATTTAAATGCATTGCCTCACCGGCGGCTGCCGGCTTCCCTGCCGTACTTGAAAAACATTGAATTAAAATATACAATTCTATTCTGCGATTAGGGTGTGAAAAGTTAGCTGTGAATCTACCGTCAAAGTTTTTCCTGCCTTAGGCTAAGCTCTCGTCTAAATGAATATTCATCATTAAAACTAAGTATAGTTATTCTGAGTTTAACCTACATCATGTATTATAATCTTTTTTCAGTTTCTGCTATTTCTCTTGAATGTGCCTCGTTGATACCAGTAGGCTAGCATATATGACTGCAGACCTGGAGGTCCTGGATTCGAATTGGAGATCCGGCCACGTAGAACTATTACAAACCAATGCCTCGGAAAGCATTGTCTTCTTATATTATCTTCTTTTATTATAACTTTTCTTATCGATTATGTACGTTGTGCCTTGTGTACTAGAATTTCTTCTGTACCTACGGCTACAGGTGAGTAGCATTATTGTATGGGTCTTGGATCAAAAATAAGACTAAAGACTTATTACAAAGAATGCTGCTGAAATGATGTGCCATAGTTTTAAGCTTAGTAACAAATGTGATTAATAGCCGATATCTGTTATTTTTCCTAAATAAATGTAACGAACAGATGGTTTTTGTAATAAAAATAAAGAACCTGTTAACCAAACTAAATTTCATTCTATTTATTTTCCTTTATAAACTAAAATCAGTTGATTATTCATACTGGTCCTTTTACCCCTATCACTAGTCCTTTTTGCCCCGATAGCGGGGCTTAAAGGACCAATAGAACTACGTTTCTAAATCTTGAATATCTGGCAATTAGTCATAAACTAATCGTATTTATTAGTAATTATATTTATGGGAAGTACTACACTACTCATTTTCATTTGGATCTTTTCCGGAATCCTTATATCAAAATAGTTACGAGGCAATATTCCAAAATTGGACCTTTCAGCCCCACCCTACCCTACATTTTAATTTATTATAATATACGCTATTTACGCAGTCGGTTTTTTTTTTAATTTTTGTAAATTATTTTTTATTTACAGCTTGATCAGTTAGATTTTTAGTTGTATTTAACACTTCCTTATCCTAAATTATCTTTAAACATTTTTTTTTTTCAATCATATCTATCTATATTATGCCCTTTGAAACTCACTTTATCAAGATAAATCGAACGTTTAGTAAGTAATTACGATGGAACATTGGGTCGGACATACGTACATACACATAGATACATATGTACATTGTACATATAATATATAAATAATTACATACACATGTCAAACATGAAACACATAACCCTCTTAATAAAAAAATAGTAAAATAAAACTAGTCTTTCCTTGTGTATAATAGGGGAAATTTTGTGTTCGTGTTTAGTTTTGATCAATCGAACCAAAGCTGACATCCTACACCAAAAATTCCAGCACCCTACACAAAGAAGTCCAGAGAGCGCATCACCAACTTGCAGAACAACTGTTCTCAAAGCTCTCAACAGTAGAAACGTTTTGAACGTAAAACTGATAATCTATTAACGTTTAAAAAAATATAAAACTAAAAGATCACTATCTAGGGACAAGGGACTCTAAATTGCAAGAAAAATTGCTAACTCGTAATTAATGGTTGCCCCCTTAGCGCTCGTCAGGGGAAGACCCAAGTCCTTAAGTCTTAAACTATCATAATAGAGCAAGATCCCAGGGCCTCCAGACGTCACGTATTTTCTGACGAACGAAATATGGTCGATTGAGTAGTGTTAATATGTACTAAGATCGCATGCCTACTCTGCCACTGACGGCATGGTTAGACGGCCAATTTTCAGGTATCAGTTAATCATAAAAAAATTACTTACCTCACGTACATTCTCCAAGCTGATTTTCAAGTATATTTTAGACAATATCGTTAAAATAAGTCGTCAATACTCCCAGACGCTTTCCGACGGCCGTATTGCTTGGCAGACGCTTTAAAGCTCTCAAAATAATTACTTAACCTCTATTTTTTTAAATTACTAATCTTCGTTGAAATCGGTTTATTACTTTTCACGTGAAACGCGCACACGAAAACAACAAAACAGGCATATAGGCAAACAGACAAAAAATTTAATAACTATTGTTTTATTGTTTCGGAGTCTATATTATGTACATAATACGTTACAAACATACAAAAACAAATCTATCCCACATCGTACATTTTTCTGGGATAAAAAGTAACCTATTTAATATTCTGATGCATGAACTATTTTATTGTAATGTTTCATTAAAATCCAATCACTAGTTTTTGTGTACTAAGCTGTATAAGTTACTATTGCTTTTTAACTATCGCACAGGAACTCTTTAATTTTCCGGGATGAAAAGTATCTATGATGTTGATCTGGGATATAAGGTACCACCATGCAAAATTTCATTTATATCAGTCCAATAGTTTTGGAGATTAGCCCGTACAAACAGACAAACAGACAGAGAAACAAAAAATTTGAAAAAAAACCTGGATTTGTTCTATTTCTCTTCTTACATCCCCCTAAGTCGGTTTTAGCATTTTTTTTCTATGTACAGACATTCGACGTCTACAGTTGTATAGATGGGGAAGAATTTTACCTTTTTCTCCCGCCAGATGTCGTGATCACTAAAGCTCTCAATATATTGTAATTTGTAAAGCTCTATAGTGGACTGATTTTTTTTTATTTTATTTTAAATTTAATTAAAATGAAAAATTGTACAGTGCTAAGATGCAAAAAAATGGATATCGTTCGTTTCCGAAATTTACAATTAAGGCTATGTGGACATAATTTTGATGAAAATGATTTTAAAACTCTTAAATCGTCTACAAGTGAATATTCTTTTATATTATTCGTGCATTTTTACGTAATAATTACAGAGTTTCATACAAACTTTAATCCCCTATTTTACCCCCTTATGGAATTGAATTTTGAACAATGCTAAAACACGTATTTATTTAATTGTATTGAAGAGCATTAATACCAAGTTTCAAGTAATTCTGATCGTTAATAATTATTTACTATTTATTTATATTAACTATTTATTTATATAAACCTTATTATCCACTTTTTTTAGGGGATGAATTTCGAAAAAATCTAATAAATATATTTCTTATTTTTTATCTTAAAGTTAAACACCACTTTCTGTGTATTTCACATTAAGAATGATGGAGTTTCATATCGACAAGTGAAAAGCTATTTGGTTTAAGCGATATTTTCTTAACTTTACAGGAGAGCCAATTTAATGATTTTTTTTTAAATCAAATCGGCTCTCCCATAAAGTTAAGAAAATATCGCTTAAACCAAATAGCCTTTCACCCGTCGATATAATCTTTAATACCCTATTTTACCCACTAATGTGATGAATTAAAAAAATCTTTTTTATTGGATGCCTAAATCGTCATCCAAATTACACGTTTCTACGACCAGCGGCGTACGCTGTGTGTGTTGATCCACCTCTCCTCAATTCTTCCTTATCTAACTTCCAGATACATTGCACAGGTAAGATGCGAATACAATAGAAGCAAAAAACCAAGTATAATAGAGATATCACAATAAAGTGCTTAACCTCAGACTGATTGTAAATAGGTGATACGTGTGGCGCCCTCCTTTCGAGAAATATTCTCCATTACAATTTACAACTTAATAAACATATTATTAACAAATTATATTTATTGTATACAAACTTACATAAGGCAAAAAATAATATTGTCTATGATCGATCAAAGTGGCGTAACGAAACGTTGTTTTGTTTTGTTGTTATCTGTGACTTAAAAAGTTTCGTTTTGAGTTTTTCTCTTCTCCGCCGCTGTGTTTGCACTTTGATTTTGTAAAATTTATTATAATTTGTTATGAACGGTATGTTTAATGTTTTACATGAACATTAAAAATAGAAGTTACATGCGTTTGTTCCATATAACTCCGTTATTATATGTGTATTCTTTGCATAACATCTAAGACTTCAAGTTCTGCAAAAGATTTATGTATTACTTTACCGTTTGTTTTTTTTGTGACATTTTTGTTATATTAAACTCAGGTACTTGTTTAATGCCCTTGTATTGTGATTGTGATATATGCCATTCTTGTTCTCCCTTTTTTCTCCACATTGATTTTTTATTTCAGGTTATTATCGACCTGTCAAGTAGACATTTTTTCGTCAAGCTGTCTCCGCAAATTCGCAAAATAGGAGACGAAAACCCATTCAAGTTCTCTAGTTTTATATCGAATCTGCCACCTATAGTAAGTATTTATCATTCCGTGTACTTAGTTTAGATTACTTACATAGATTACTCTGCAGTTCTTTGTTAATATTTCATTTACTTTTATAAATTGCACTATTATTTTACTATGACTTTTCTCGCGTGGGAGTTAGGCTTTAAATAATAGTTCGTGCATAATATAACCTATCTATTTATAAAAGTCGTACAATACCACAATTACCAAGCATATGGTTTATATATAGGTATAATGTAAGGAAACTACTGTATATGAGCTATATTTGTTTGGTATCATTGTTGTGGAATTTTATTAGTAATAACAAATTTCATATATTTAGTCATGAATTTAATAATCAAGATTATGTCAGAAGTAAGAAGAATAAATCTTGACATACATAATTAAAAGGAAGGTTAATTACATTTTCCTTTTTTAATTCAAACTTTTAAACTCTCCAACTTTTAAATCAATATATTTTCTATTATCTTGCTGTGCTAATTTAGTTTTACACAAGATATAAGTTTTTTTTTAATATTAAGAATATAAAGAAACATATAAACCTTTGAAACTTAATTATTCTCTATAGAATTACTACAAGTCCATTGTAATAAGAGGATATCATTTATTAGTGACTTTTGTATATGATATCATATTATAGTAAAAGTATTTTGGATTAATTATGATGCTTATTCAATTTAAGTACATTTAAATATTTTTTGTTTATATGTATTTGATCACTGACTGGATGGATTTTTTACAACTTTAAAATGAAAATTTGCTAGAAATTTCAATGGATTCTTTAATAAATATCACAGAATTCTAATGTTGACATTACTTTCAGGTAAATTATGACAACAGTATAGCACTTACTCTAATTAACAAAAAAATATTTCTTTTGGTTTAACACATCTGTAATTTGACACAAAAAGAATAATTTTCAGTAGGTACTCAAAGCTTAGTTATAATATTCAATTATTCACTAGCGGCTCTAGAAAAACAAAAAGAACTCTATCCCACCGGAACTGTATCTTTTTCCAGGATAAAAAGTGGCCCATGTGTTATTCGGATGTATAAGGTATATTATTGTAAAGTTTCATTAAAATCTATTCAGTAGTTTTTGTGTGAAAGAGTAATAAACATCCATACATCCTCACGAGCTTTCGAATTTATAATATTAGTATGATATTATATTGGTCAATACATACTTTATCATAGAAATTTTATCTCATTCTAATATAATATACAAGTGTCACTAAATCACCTAATATATTATTTTTAGTATACAAACTTGTAAGCAATTCACACTATTGAAAAAGTGTATTGATATTCTTTGTTTTTTTATATAAATACATTATCAAAAAAATATTATTTACTTTCTTGCTTTCATATAAGGAAACCATTCATGTCAACTGCTTATTCAATATCATGTTACTTAGTTAATTAAAGGGGTCAATAGACTGATAAGTCCTTGAGAGAACTTAAAGATTAACTTTTGTGGCAGTTGATTTATGTACAGCTATTTAACAATAATTAATGATACTTAATAACTAAGCTAATTTAAACTATGGCTTGATCTCCCTCTCTCATTGAGGGGGCCCATGCCTACTTTTGGAATGTTAAAATGCGCTGAATACTATATTAAAAAAGTATGTCACAAAATTGTTATATGTAAATTTAAGATACTTTTATTATTAAAGTTTTAGTAATTGCAAAAGAGACATTGTACTGCTCATTCACATAGAATATATTTTTAAACTACCCTTAAGTAAATGTATGTTTGTAGCCTGTAGGGAGCAAATAGAGAGATTTTTTCTAAAAATCCTATCATGACAACAAATGGAAAAGGATATAAATAAAAACAAAGTTATGTAAAATTATATTCTATATTAAATTCTATATATTTGTTTGTTTGTAACATATTCAGTGCTTAGGACATTCTTTCATGATTTTAATTAATGATTGATACTTCATGCTAAGCAGATAAATGATTATTAGCTTTCTGAAAGAAAACAACTAACTTCATACTGTAGTCTAAATCTTGGCATCATTTTTCCCCTGATCCTTTATATTTTTTTTAGTTAAAGTTCCACCCCTAAAATTGTCTCTTAAAGTAATTTCGGATTTAATAAACCGTTTTAATTTTAAAAAGTAATCCATTCTAATATATATTATATATACTTATACTTTTAATATTATAAATGTGAAAGTGTGTTTGTTTGTCCTTCTCTGACGTCGAAACAGAGTGACAGAGATAGTTGGATAGCTGGAGAGTGACAGGCTACTTTTTACCGCGGGAGATTATCTTATTCCCATAGATAAACTCGTTATAATACAACCCACAACAACTCATAATACTATTCCATACTAAGTGTTAAAACGTACCTAGGGACGATCCCGAACGCTAGTCATCTATACTAGTATTATAAAGAGGAAAGATTTGTTGGTTTACTTGTACTGAACAGACTTTGAAACTACTGAACCGATTTAGATGAAATTTGGTAAGAAGACAGTTTCAGGCCCTGGAAAGGACATATGATAGTTTTTATTCCGGAAATCATCCCTCAAGGGGTTGAAAATGGGTATGAAAGTTTGTACGGGGAATCAACCTATGGACAAACCCGAGCGAATCGAGGGTGAGTCCTTAGTTTATAAATAAAAGCTATTTATCGTATATTGTGGTGGTAAAGGGTGGTGGAGCGATGCCGCGCTGCAGTAAGCGCACGCGCAGTGGCGCGCCCTCCACGGACCTGTTACCCGGCACCACATCCCTAGACGAGCATCACCATCATAAACGATCAAGAAATACTAGGTAGGTACATCACTTTTATATTTTGTTTTTAAATTTTTTTTAGTGATAATGTATGTAATTCTTGTGTATTTATTATATAAATCTGTATTTATAACAACTTGTAAATCTATATCTACGAGTATACCTACTAATCTTATAAAGAGAAAAAAATTCAATTTTTGTATGTTCGTTTGTAATGGATGACTCTAAAACTACTTAACCGATTTAAAAAAATACTTTTATCTATATATTAAAACTATATTCAGTTTGAACTACATTTATTGATTATTAGATTCAATTATATTATTTACTTAATTAATTAATACTTACATATTGTCATTACAGTTCCAGGAGACATTCCAAATCAGAAGACACAAGTTTTAGTGTAAAGAAATGTTTAGCTTGGTTCAAAGAATACACGACAGTATCAGAACCAGATGTTCTAGGTATTCTTCAATTCTATTTTATAGCAGAAATTAATCATACAAAATAATTTTCAATAAATCTTTTCGGATTTTTTCGCGGATTTATTTCGAGATTTGGTTCCCGACGTTTTGAATGCTTTTCAGCAATCATGGTCACGGGAGAGAATGTCTCTCGCATAATATAAATCCGTAAAAAAACCCAAAAAGATAGTTTTATTTAAAATGTCAAATATTCGCGTAGATCTAAGAAAGTATTATACATAATCATGTTCTTTCTTCATTCTCTTTCTTAAATCTTAGTAGTTAGTAACTATTAACATCAAAAAATTGAAGTGTCTTTTTTTGTAATGTCAAAATAACAGCTTTTTACTAAATGCATACGGATTTATATATGGTGCTTATAAGGAAACACAATTTTTAAAAATTTTGCCTGTCTGTTTGTTCCGGCTAATCTCCGAAACGGCTGGACCTATTTTGAGAAGACTTTCACTGGCACATAGCTGATGTTATAAGAAGTAACTTAGGTTACTTTTGTTTTAGATAAAGAAATAGGGTCCCGCTCATTAAAATTAAAACGTACCTAGGGACGCACCTGAGCGAAGCAAGGATATGTCCCTAGTGATAACTAACTTCAGTATTTTTAGCACATTATTATTATTAAAAGTGTAGTTGGTAACTTTATAGAGAGTACTTATCATAAACCCTGATCTCCCTCATATTGAAGGGAGGCTCGTGCCCAGCAGTGGGATGTTTAAAAGGGCTTAATACACTTGACATAAAAATTTGAAAAAAATCACTGAAATATAAATTGATCACTATAGTACATTATTTTCAACCAATTAAGATATGACTGTGTTATATTTTCAGGGCCAGAAGGAATGGAAAAATTTTGTGAAGACCTCGGAGTTGATCCTGAAAATGTTGTAATGCTGGTAATTGCATATAAAATGGGTGCCAAACAGATGGGATACTTCACACAAGAGGAATGGCTCAAAGGTAACATATTCTAACAAAATTTTCTAAATCTTTGTGTGGGATGTAAAAATTCTGTAGTGTGATCTGCCAAAATTATGCCATATATGGGTACTGATATTCCAACAAAGTCATAATGCTATTTAAAATGCCAAGAAAAACCTTTTAAATATCTCTTTTTGACGAAAAAAAAGGGAATAACATAAAAATCGGTGGTTTAAGAGAAGAATTACGAACGCACGCTCTTCGGACTTCCATATAAAAAAATGTATTTTAATAATGAAACTTTTGAGGTTTTACAACTAGATTAGAATTAGTGTTAAAAATTATTATGTAGCAAAATTTAAGAGTTTTCTATTTAAATGACTGTGTTTGAATATGGTGTATTCTTCTTCTTAGTCCCTATCCCATTCATTTTGAATGTTGGGACTGTTAAATCTTTGTTTTTATAAAATTTATTTTTACGGTTACAGCTAACCCATATATCCCACTGCTGGGCAAATTCTCTGAAAATTTATTTTGTATTGATAAATTGTCATCTTTTTATATCACATTACATTGGTCCAATTATTTGAATTGAATAACTGTTAATGAACTGAATTGAATAACTGCTATAATATCATATATGCTTTTCCCTCAGGACTAACAGACCTGCAGTGCGATAGTGTGCTCAAACTTCAAAACAAACTAGACTATCTGCGCCACTTACTCAACGACCCCTATGTATTTAAGGCTGTATACAGATATTCATATGATTTTGCAAGAGTGAGTATAAATATAATTATACTTTTAAAGAGAGAAAAAACAGAAGGAAATTGTATATTTAGTATAGTAGTGACTTATCGTAGCTATGCTAAGGGGCCTTTTGGGTTTATAATATAACTTACTAGCGATTCAGTCTGACTTCTCTCGGGTGCGTTTTTAGCAGCTTAGAAACATAAATTCGAATTTTGCGTAATTTTTCTAACTCTAATAAGAAATTTCTTTTACTTTAAGTGAAAGTCCCATTACAATTAGTTAAGCTTTTCCAAAGTTAGAATTTTTTGATTAGGTTGAAAATAAAACTACTATAAGATTTTGTCTCGGTTCGTTAGTATATAAACGAAGGTGTATAAGTACATATTCGCACGGACAGAACTTAGGTTTAATTTAGTATGTGAGAGGTAATCTAGTAGCGTTGTTGACGTCGTGTGTCGTGTGGCAGGACAAGGACCAGCGGTCGCTGGACACGGGCACGGCGCGCGCGCTGCTGGGCGTGCTGCTGCCGCGCTGGGCGCTGCGCGCGCCGCTGGCGGAGTTCCTGCGCGGGCGCCGCTACCGCGTCGTCAACCGCGACCAGTGGACCAACATCCTCGAGTTCAGCCGCTCCGTGGACGCGCAGCTGCACGCCTACGACGCGGACGGCGCCTGTCAGTATTTATTTTACATTTTATTTGACATAAATATACATTACATATTATTCAGTCATTAATTTTATTATTTTTGTCACTCCCTGTGTAATGTATTCTATCTCAAATAATAACAGTTACCATGGCAACACGGCAATGTATTCTGTTTCATTCTCTCGCCGGCTTAATCCTATATATTTATATGTCTGTGGCTCTTTCTCATGCCGCATTTCCATTTCATCTAGTTTTAAATCACAACTATCCTAAAAAACTTTCACTTCAAAAAAATGATCACATACGTACATACACCGATAAAATTTTGTACATTTATTTGGATGCCAGGCAGCCTAGACTCGCAAAACCAGGCAGGTAGACATTATTATCAGGGCCGTGCGATTTGCCGTTGCGTTTGTGATGCAAAGAGACGGCATAAAATAGGATTTGAAGCTACAAATACCCCAGACTCATTCTTTTTTTTTAACGTTGGGAAATGCATTTACGCACGAGGTGTGGGAGTCACCGGCGAAGCCAGTACTACCCACTAAAACCCAACAAAACCTTCCCCCGTCTTAATGGGGCGTCGCAGGATCGCTTACGCATTAGACTACTCGGCCCCGACGGCAGGTCTGCCGAAGCAGACCACAACAACCACGGGGTTGCTCCAAGGTCCACTCTGCTGTCAGAGAAGTACCAGGAGCAACCCGCATGGTACACCGCCCTCCGAAGAGGGCCGCCTCCCACCGCCCACCGTGTGCCACAGAGGGCCACCTCCCTGTGCCTTTCTTGGCTTCGCGCCCGGCTGTATTGCCGGGCACTACTGAGCCCACCCCACCACGACAAGGTAAACGCACGTTGGGGGGGACCCCAGACTAATTTTTTTTTTTTTTTAATGTCGGGAAATGCATTTACGCATACCACCTGATCCCCCAGGTGGTGATGTGGGGCTTACCGGCTAGAAGAGCCGGTACTACCCACTAAAACCCGACATTCCCCTTCCCTCCGCCTTAATGGGACGCCGCAGGATCGCTTGCGCATAACTACTACGGCGCCCCGGCGGCAGGTCTGCCTAAGCGCTAGGTAGACCACCAAACCAATGGGGCTGCTCCACAGTCAACTCTGCTACGCCAGAGAGGTACCCGGAGCAGCCCCATTAAACCTAACCACCGCCCACCGAAGTGGGCCACCTCCAATCGGCTGCAGAGGACAGGGAGAGCGGCAACGAAACACCGACACTCCTCTTCCCCTGCAGCCCCACCGCGTCCGCCATCAAACGGTGGCGGCCCCGTCTAGGCCGCGGAAGGTAGGGAGAACGGCGCACCGAAATACCGGCACTCCTCTCCCGCCGCGGCCTACTCCTCCGCCGGATGCGGGCCTGCGACCACAGTCCCGCAACCGGCACCCATCATCCGGTTGTGGGACCAAGCGGTCCCACCACCGGTGGCCGCAACGTCTTCGGCTCGAGTCCTAGACGAGCGGCCCCACCCAAGCCATTTGGTCCGCGCCGGATTTCTCCGGTACCATCCGCCGCCCTAAGCGGGTGGCATTCCCCTATCCGCCACCTGGGGACGCGCCCGGTAGGAGTTGGCTTCTCCCCCGGGGGACCCCAGACTCATGCTCAACTCATGTGAACTCAATTTTTCTTTGTAATTTGACCTATTTGTCAAGCAATTGACATGATATATCTAACTTCGTTTCAGCAATACAGTTCCAATAGTTTCTGAATAATATTACTATACATGAATGGATGGATGTACAAATTATAAGTTTTTTGTTTCCCCCATTTAGCTACGTAATCCTTATGAAAATTACCCAAAGGTGGCATTTCCAAAATTTGCATCATACTGAGAAAATCTATCACATGGCCCATAGGTTATTATTATATGTGTGTTTGTATGTTAAAGATAATTGCTTTGTGTAAGTTGAGTTGAGGAACAGTTGAGAAACTCTTAAGTTCTTCGTCGGTTCTTTTCAGCAAAACTGCCTTCCAAGCTGGTGGTAGATTCCCCACAGACTTACATATTGACATTTAATTCAAATTTTTAAAATGTAAAATTGACGATTCGAAAGTGCTTGTAAAAGTCTATTTGAATAATAAATAATAAATATGCTGAGGCATTAACACACAGCACCATCTAGTTCCATGGTAAGCTACGAGGCTTGAGTTATGGATACCAGATAGTTGATACACTACACATATATAACTAAACAGCCATGACTAGGTACAAACATTCGTGCTTATCACACAAATGAATGCCTCCAGCGGGACTCGAATCCGCGAACGCTGTCACAGCAAGTAGGGTCACTACAAACTGAGCCAGACGTGTAGTCAAATTGAATAAAGTATTTTAATTTTGTTTATGTGTGTGGTCAGGGCCGGTGATGCTGGACGAGTTCGTGGAGTGGCTGCGCGGCGAGCGCGGGGAGCGCGGCGAGCGCGACTGCCCGCCCAGCTGAGACCCGCGCGCAGGTACGCTTCACTGGACTACAGATAGGCTCACACTTTCTTACATTTTACGCGAATATTTGTAATCTATACATATAATACAATTCTAACTGGGCCGAATCTGTACATTAAAACATTTTTTGGAAAGTCTTATTGAAATAGACATTATTATCAATATAGAGGTCGAATCGTGATCGCATCACGAGAAAACCACTGCACAGATTTTGATGAATTTGATATGATGATGTATAGTTATCCGGATCAACATATAGGATACTTTTTACTACGGGAAAATATCTCATCTCTGAAAAATCTATACTAAACGTTATAACGTAACTAGGGACGAACCCGAGCGGAGCGAGGGTGAGTCGCTAGTATATAATTAAAAAGGAATCGCTATGTATAAGCGCAAATCGATATTCTCAATGTCAACTGGACTACTTCGGTTATATATTTTTTTATTCAAATATTCGCTAAAATCCGAAAAAGGTTGAAAAAAATGCCGGAAGTAAAACATAATTTTTCTATTCGGACCTACACACTTGTGTTACGCTCAGCTAGTTATTAAATAAAACTATCTTTTCGAATATTTTCACGGATATTTTTTTTTGTCCGGATTTGGTCTTTGACCCCAAACAGAAAGGTATTTCGGTTGAGGGTTTCGGATACGGTCTTTAACCGGTTAAAACCCGGAAAACGACTTTAGGTTCCATGATCGAAATTAACTGGTTAAAATGAGTTTTTATGCCTTTTCTTTTTGCTTGGCGAACTTACCGGTTACCGTACCGATACCATGAATGAATTTACCGGTTTACTTCGGTATCAAAACCTAAATGTAACCTCTCTCTAAGAATAACCGTCAACCATTATTATTTCGGTTTACAAAACCGTTCGTTTTTATAAACCGGGTATTAAACGAGAGATGAATTAACCATTACATCACCGAAAATAACCTGTTTTTTAAACCAGTTCCAAGCCGTGTTTTTAATATTAATGTATGCATATTATCTACAGTCGGACGGTCGGAGCTGGAGCGGCGGCGCGACACGCGTCGCTGACAGTGTAAGTGTATATTGTCATTACGCATGTATGTATGTATATTACGTTCCAGACGACGCTTCATACCCCCTGAACCTCGTAAATTACACCCCACATTGTTGTTAAGAGTTTCTTTTTTAATTATTATTAATATTAAGTGAAACGGTTTTGTTGTTTTTAATAAGACAGCTACATTTAATCTACATTCATTATTACGAATTAATTAGTTTTAAAAGTTGCCAGTTAAGTTAATAAAATAATAATAATTTATATATAATATGTATTATATAAGTAATTTATTAGGTTCAGATTAATTCGCTTTATATGTAATACATATACATCAATATTGTATCTATCGTTTGAAATGTACGCAATCTCAAATACTCTGAAATATATTGATTTTGTATAATATAATATTTTATTTAATTTTGTTGCCCACCGAATCAGTGTTATTATTCCAATAAACAGTACAAGCGTTAATTTTTTTAAGTGGCAAGCATGGACAAAATTATATATTTATATATACGCCAAAATTAGAATATAGTGATGAAATTATGTGAGAAAAAAAATGCTAAATACGTATATTCGAAAATGTAAAATAAAACATAATATAGATGAGAATGTAAAATTTACATTAAAAATTAAATATATAATGTTGTTTAGGATCATATCAATTAATTGTATGAACGTAGTCTGTGCCATATCACACTTGACCATTAAAAAAGTATTCTTTAACTTGTTTTTTAATCTATTAATATTTTTGTGTATAGTTAATTAATTAAAATTGATAACTAGGTGTGATATGGTATTCGCTATTTAAATAACATGATCGTAAACAAATATAAACTGGCTCGAAAATATTAGTTTAATTAAGTTAATTTAAATATATATTAATGCATTCATTAACATTGTTAACTTTCTTTATTTCATGCTCGAATCACAGAATCTATCGCATTCGACAATTACATATATAATTTGAGAAGATCAGAGAGACGCATATAATATGCGTTTTAAGTCGCAGTTGCTCATTGTGCCGGAACTCGAAGCACTTGTCCCGATTGTTTATCATATTCATAGATCAAAAAAGTACTAGATACACAATCAGCGACAAGAAATGTCCTCACCGAATGAACGCTCATTTGAACATTTGAGCGTGCTTTTATTTTATTTTTTTGCAAAAACAACTTTAAGCATTGCACTTAAGGTTCAATTTACATCGTTGTATATTTATTTCAACTGGAAAATTACCTAAACACAATTGGTGACACTTTCAAGTGAACTTTTGCATGGGATTGTGTATCTAGTACTTTTTTAATCGATGATCACATTTGACAACTCTCTTTGTAATTTAATATATTAAATATATTATTAATGCAAATGTCTTTATTTAATGAGTTATATTTATTTATTTTTTATTTCATATAAAATTTACATACATTTTGGAATTGCATGGAAGGTTGTCAAACATTGAATGCCAGTATAATTTAAAATTTAATCATAGGTTATCGATTGAACTCGACTGAAAGCTTACATTTTAAGTGTCGCTTACTTCAGAGACTAATTTGCATTTTTTGTGTAACTTTGCCTAGTTCTCAAGCCTGTTTGATCCAAGATGCGACGAGTTTTGTAATCTGAGAAGATTTGGCGCCATTTTGATCGATTGAAAACATCAATGGTCTAATGATAATAATTAAAGGGATAAAATGTGAATGATATTTTTGCATATTTGCGTAATAAAACAGGCTTTGGAATGAATCAATGCTGAAAGCTCTGAAACAAGTTCCGATAGACTAGGTTGTCTAGTCTACCTAGGTTTAGGTGTAGATATGGTTTTTTATAAGACATGTAGGTAGTATTTTCAAATTCTCTATGATAGTAACGAATACGGTATGTTTCTAAGAAAGCGGTGTATACAAAATTAATCTCAAACATTTTAGGCCCCTTGTACCGAATGTCATTGCAAGAGAAATAAATCATTTAAAAAATTTAACTTGTGCATTACTACTTTTCCTACCCTTTAGTTCCACATTGTTTTTGATTTGTAAAATGTAATTTCTTTTACATGCATTCTTAAATTACTATGTAAATAGTTTTTGAATAAATTGACTAAAATTAAGTGTTATAACTAGTTTATTTAGGAGTTGGTTTAAGAACTCGTTTGAGTTGGTTTTTGACAATTATTACTGGTGCTATAATATAGCCGATATATTATTACATATTTGTTCGGGTTAGTTTCCGCAACTCGACTTATGCGCCTATTTTGCGATACAAATTGTAAAATGTATTCAGCCCTTTCTAACATTCCACTGCTGGGGGTGGGCCTTCTTTCAATACAAGGGGACCGTAGTCCAAGTGTGGGTGTACTGAGCATGTTATTTTGAAAACTTGCTAAGTTTTTTCAGATATGCAGATTTCCTCGGGACGTTTTCCTTCATCGTAAGACAAGAAGTAATAATCATATTGGAAATGATTTGTACATGAAAATATCAGTTGAGACCTGGGATTTGAACACTCGCTTCACTTGGTTTCCCAAGCGAGCGCGCTACCACTGGGCTAGCACGTATCTATTACATTAGTAGTAATTAAAAGAATAAAATTAGTAGTAGCATCATCATAATGTCAATATTATTTATTTAGATCTTATTTACAATATCTGTCGGCTTTCATTTTGCTCCTACGATCTAATAAAGTTTCATGTAGATTTCCCTCTACTTTGGCTCGTTTTAATTCAGAAGTACTGCCATCATTTACGCGGAGTTTCTTATCTTGGAATTTCTGGAATTTTTTACTGAAACAAAATCAATAATAATAAATATGATATTTGTTTAAAGTAGTAGACCTATGTTGTAGAAAATTAGATAAAATGCTCATGTTTCAAGCCAAAAAGAGTTTTATGTGAAAATGTAACAGACTGTGGGAAATTCAAAGTAGTCGAAACGTACCCCATTGGTCAAACCGAATATGACGTCAAAGTATTATCATAGCAGAGCGATTAGCGATTTTGTCCCTACAAACTAAAGTCGTCATTTTTCTATTTATGATACTTTTACTTTATTCTACTTACGAAATGGTGGACATTTGAAGTATCCGTATGGGTATGATATCTTATTAAAACTTTTTTTATACCAAATTTTGTTTTTTTACAATTATATAACGATGTTTGCTCTTGTATAAAAAATAAAAAAAATCACACATTCCCAGTTATGTATCTTTAGATTGCATTGACAATGTGACTGTTAGAATATATAAGAATTCAATAAAAGTTAAAATTTCCGATTTTTGGTGCCAATTTAAATGTATTAAACAAAAAACATCATCTTTATCTTTTTATAATAGTTTACCATTTAGTGGTAGTGTGATGTAATATTAATATACAATAATAATAGTTATGCTTACACATAATTTACTTCAACTTCTGCCAGGTCTCCCTCCTCTTCAGCAATTTTAATAGTGTTTATTTCTCTGCTTTTATTGCTGCGAATATTGCACATACTCTGTTTCCCTGCTGTGAAGTCACGAGCTACCACAGAGTCATCTTCTGTTATAGTTATAAATTTGCTAAGTGAATTAAGAATTGCTGTTTGTCCTGTAAAGATATGTAATAGTTATCGAGTCAATTAAAAATATAATCCTTACATAAGGTAGCCATTTTGAATGAACTCAATATTTACTTTATAATAATAATAATAATTCAATTGAATTTAATTATTTACATTATTTTTGGAATTCATTTGAATGAACAATACAGTAATATTAAACAAAATGTTCATAAACTAATTACCATCTTGCCAAACTGCTTCCCATTGCTCCATAGAACCAACTGCATCTGATCTACCGATTACTAGACCTTCTGTATTTACTCCCAAATATTTTCCATAACCAGATTTTAAAGCAAACTTATTTTCTCCAGCAGGAAATGCTGTAAAAATTTCTTCAGGAGATGGGCCTTCTCCATCACCATGTGGAGCCCCAACCGTAAATAGACCGTTATCTAGGGCTGATATATAAGCGTTATTCCCAAATTCGATAGCAACTGATCCAGTTATATCTTCATATTTTTGTATTTTCCACCATCCTGCATGTTTGATGCAATCTTCATCAATTTTCTCATCTTCTGTTTTGTCTTTTTTCTTATGTTTGCGTTTTTTTGCCCTATTTTTTTCATAAAAGTATAACATCAATCAGTTTGAAAATACAAATTAAATAAGCTATATTTTTCGAGATAAATATTTGTTTCTTGAAAAAGTTGAATTTAAAATGAGTTGCTTGCTGAGTTGAAAATACTAAAGACAAATTAGTCTAAAGCACTGTCAGTTCATCAATAATATTAATTTAATTTAGAATTTATAATTCATCAATCATAATTATATATACATCGAAGCATATAGAAAATAACCTCACTTACTTAGGTTTATCGCCTTTTAAAATTAATTTTCCACGCTTAACAGCTGCATATTCATCACTCATTATATATTTTAAAGAGTAAAATCAGTGATAAAATTAAAAAAATCTCAAATAACTTGTTATTATTTTGTTTTGTAATAATTCTATAATCTATGATTTTGAGTTTTGACTTTGTCATCCATGGTTCTGACTTTTGACATAACAGACATGACATGACAGCTAACAGATAACAAATCTATACTAATATTATAAAAAGGTAAAGTTTGTGATCTTGTGAGTTTGTGTGTTTGTGGCGTTGTAGGGGGTAATCTCTGGATCTACTGAACCGATTTTCAAAATTCTTTTACCAATAGAAAGCCACGTTCTTTCTGAGTGTCATAGGCTATATATTAACCCGAAAAATGAAAAGGCTTTTTCGTCGGATTTGCAAAGTAAGTCGGAGAAAAAACGGTCGAACGAAAACTTTTCTTACGAACGCTGCCTAAACGATGAGAGATATATGATTATGTTCCAGAGAGAAGTTGTAGAGCTTAATAATGCCTACAAAAAAGTCAGCGACAGCATATGTCTAACTTTTAGATTTAAGTCACAAAAAGTAGTTTTTTATATTAAAAAAATAATTTAAATCGGTAGGTCATGTTTTTTGGTCATATTATCAACAATTATGAATTCTTATCAAAATAAGTAAATTTATCGTCTAAAATGTTAAAAACAAAAGACTTTTCCCTTTTACTGCATATAATTTGGACAAATGGTTAGAGATAATACAACATATTCGTAGGTATGGACGAACCCGGCGAGCTGTTTGTCTGTTTGTCTGTTTGTACGGGCTAATCTCCGAAACTATTGAACCGATTAAAATGAAATTTTGCATGGTAGTACCTTATATCCCCGGTCAAGATCTAAGATACTTTTCATTCCAGAAAATTAAAGAGTTTCCGTGGGATAGTTAAAAAACTATAGTAACTTATACAGCTTAATACACAACAACTTATGCACCTAATTTAGCAATATTTGGCATGCTGATACCGGATATTGCCGGTTAAACAACAGGTTACTTTTCATCCCGGAACAATGAACGGTTCCTGTGGGATAGATCTGTTTGTGCTTTTCTAGAGGTGAACCCGAGCGAAGCGAGGGTGAGCTACTATAATTCATATTTTGAAATTAACTAAATTTCTTTACAAATAAAATCATGGTAGTAACTGATGGTATTATAATAAACATCTCCATTGCTAAGATTTTTTCTTCTACTATCACATTTGCACCTTAATATAGAACAAAATGGCAAAGTTGTGGATAACTAAGAATATTCATATACGTGCAATCCAAGCTTATTTATGACACGCGCGCCATACCTACTTAGCACCTCTCTTGTTTTCATCGTCCGTATACGTAATAAAAAGTAAAAACAATGTCTGCTTCAGTCTATGCCCTATACCTAAATTGCAGCATTGCCAGCTTATGGGGAATTCCCCGAACCGTAGGGAATCAGGGATTTTTAATATCAATAGCTTGGGCCAAGTAGAATACTTCTTCAAGAACCCCAAATATTTATTGTAACTTTTAGGTTATTCCTGGATATTGAACATAGTACCACACTTAATGTTCAGCTTTATTTCGGCATCTTTATTCTGTCACCAATGGTAAAATACTTTTGTGTATCCTATAATGATTTTACATTTATTTTATGAAAGTTAAGTGTCCTTAAGAATTTAAGAACAGAGAATCACAATAATCTAAATACAGATACTGTAGTAACATGGTAGTAACTATAATGGCAACAAGGGAAGAGATTAAAATTCTAGGACCTAGGTGGCAGTGTCGACTGTCAAGTTTAACTTATCGAACAAAATGCTTGTTACAATAATATTGTGGAAAAAGTGCGAGAAAAATAAAAAAATATATGAAAGAAAAAAAAAATTTAATTGTTAAAACTTGTTTCATTTCTTAAAATAATTTTGAAGGGAATTTGTGGGGAAACCAGTATATTTATTGTCCCCAAATTGAGGAATTTGACTTGGTATTAGGGAATTGGATGAATTGGTATTGGCAATACAGCTAATTTGTAGAATTTAATTTTTATTATGGCTACCCTATCAGAGGCACGCCATTTTGTAATTCTGAGCATGTTGATTTGCTCACGAAGATGATTTTCTTTACGCAAATAATTATTTTAAGTAGTGTAGTTCAATAAATATTTAATTAATAGTGAAGTAAACTACAAAATGGATATGACAGAAGTAAAAGCGTTCAACGCGGAGGTATTTTCGTTGTAAATTTGTGTGTGATTCAAGTTAACCGTGGCATCGTTCTTATAAATCATTTACTTTCAGTTATCCGGGTTGTACGAAAATAAGCCTCCTATATCAAAAGCGAAGATGAGTGCTATCACAAGAGGTGCTATTAAGGCTATAAAATTCTACAAACATGTTGTACATAGTGTGGAAAAATTCATACAAAAGTGCAAACCTGAATACAAAGTTCCAGGTTTGTATGTGATAGACTCGATTGTGAGGCAATCGCGGCACCAATTCGGACAAGATAAAGATGTCTTCGCGCCGAGGTTTGCTAAAAATATGCAACAGACATTTGCCAACCTCTTCAGATGCCCTGATGATGATAAGGTATTATTACATAAATATTGCTTTTAGGTTATATGCTATTAAATGATCAAGAAGTAAATACTTAAACATTAATAATATTAAAAAGACTAGATAAAATAAAAATATTGCTATTTATTGTTGAACACTTGAAAGAGTTGCCATTTAATGAAAGCATAATACCTGTCTTATGCCGTTATAAATTTATAAATAAACAATTATAATAACCATTCTAGTATTTGTTTAATTGCATGTTATAAAATATTTTTAAAAATTATGTTATAATAAATAGCAACAGTTTATTAATTTGTTTATTATTGTTTTTGTTTCTTATTAGCATATTGACAATGACATTATAAATTAAGATTGATAATATTCTTTATTTAATTTCCAGCGTAACATAATAAGAGTGCTAAATTTGTGGCAAAAAAACAATGTATTTAGCCCTGAAGTAATTCAACCATTACTAGATATGGCAGATCCCAATCATCCTTTGCATCAAGAAATCTTACAACAACAACAAAACAGCACTGCTAACGGTAAAAAAACCTGTTTTATGTTTATGCTAATGTAATAAAAAAGCTTTAAGAATGTACATTTTATATTACTTTATTATATTCTGTAGTGATATTATATTATACATGTGATAATCAATACAATATTATATTTATGTACCAGAATGGTATAAAAAACAAATACAAAATATGAACATTATTTAAACTCATTTATTACTACATCTAAAAGAAAAATTCACTTTACAGGAAGTAGTCTTAACATAACCCACAATACTTCCGATAACAAAATGTCACCTATGCCCCGTCAAGACAGTCCACATACATCCTCTCCAATGGGTGATGCGGTAAGACTCTTATCCATCATAAACAAATTTAAATTAAATATTTTGTTGCTGGCAACTTTATGCTGTTTTTATGTGCTTCTTGATAAGATAGTGAACAGTTACTAAGTATTGAAACAATATTAAAGTGATTAAGTAATGATTAATTGTATTGTTTAAAAATATTTCAGTTTCAAGATGACTCAAATGGACCACAGCCAGCTAAATTTAACCGCAAGTTGCTCAACGACTTTGAATATGAGAGTGAAGATGAATCAGCTCCAGAGCCTCCGCACAGCACACACAGTACTCACAACACGCACAGTTCTCACAACACCCACAGTACACACAACACACACAATACACACAGTTCTCATAACACACACAGTACACACAGCACGCACAGTACACACCCAAGTCACACAAGTCATAATACTCATAACCCTACTGATGCTCTCGGCAGGTAATTTTGTTTATATTATTAGCTACTACTTTTCTCTTCACTTCAAACAAATCTGTTAACTGTATGTAATAATCTGACTCGAGTAATAATACTTACTATACAGAATTCTAATGGTTCAGTAATTTTTGCTTGAAAAAGACATGCAGATAAACAGACAAACATTTTGATAAAATTATTATTTTGGGGTCTATATTCTGTACACAATGTATTCGTCATAGTTTTTAAAAATATTTTATGTAATGATCTCGCGAAGTTACTATTTTATTATATGTATATATTATGTATAGATGAAACATTATTGTGCTTACTAATTATTGTGTACATTTTGTTTCAGTATATTAACAAATCCTGAGATTATGAGACAGTTGCAAAGCTTACAAGCACAAATGCAGCTTATGACTGGAATGCAAATACCTGTAAGTAATTTTATTATTTTTAACACGATTTTATTAGCTTTACCTGTATATTTCATCTGTATCTATCTATCTATATAACGGACTCTGTGATCGTGATTTTCACCCACTTTAAAACTTCATTTTGAAACTTTGCACATTAAACAAGGTTGATGACAATACAATAATTTATTATAAAAATAACTTATAAAACTAAAAAAATACGCGTTTTTAGCAGATCAAATTTAAAAAATTGAAAATAAGTTATATTTTAAAAAACTAAAAAACACCCTTTTATGATGGATCGAAATGAGCGTGTGGTGCTCGATATCAGTTTCTATAAATATTCCATTGGTACGACTTCGAAAAGTAGACTTAGTATAAAATATTGTACAAAGTACCCCACGCTTTTTTCACAATAACATTAATTTTTTCGTTAATCACTTTATTCTTATATGTACTAAAAAATATTTTTTTCTTTTTAGTGAACTGAACTAAACGTGTTTTAAACTATAAATTATTTAAGAAAATTGTACAATTTTTAGTTTTATAAAGTGATATAATAAACAACAACAAATCTACGGGAACCATATATTTTTCCGGGGTACAAAGTAGCCATGTGCTATTCCAGACCATAATCTATCGGTGTACCAAATTTCATCTAGAATTGTTCAGCCGTTCTGGCTTGATTAAATAACAAACTTCCAAACATCTAACTAAACTTTCACATTTATAATATAAGTAAGATGAATAATTCTCATTAAAAACTTATAACAGCATCTTAAAAGATTTAATAGCTACTGATAACAAAATTATACTATTGAGTAAATGTTTTTCAATGATTTCTTTTTAAATTTCAGAATTTAATGCCAATGATGTCAGACATGCAGTTACAACAGAATCAAAATTTACCATTTTTAGTAAGTTTCCTTAAAATAAATATTAATAATTTATTATATTATTATATAAATTATGATAAGTTTTCTAAATATATTGTGCCTGTTTTTCAGAATTCCCAGCCCGAACAACAGAAACAGAATGAGCCTAAAGAAGACATGGCCAATGAGTCTGACATAGAGTTTGTGGAGACCGGCCCGCAAGTTATTGAAATACCAGATGTTAATGATTCCAGGTAAGTTCTGGATTTAAGAGGGGTAGTAACATCCCATTAATTAATTAATCCCATTATTAATATCATAAATGTGAAAACTTGGAATTTGGATGGATGTTTGTTACTCAATCGTGCCGGAATGGCTGATCTGGATGAGATTTGGCACAGAGATAGGTTACTTGTTATCCGGAAATACATTTATTATGTTATGTTTTATATGTTATTCACTGTATATATATATATATATAAATCGTATTCAACCCCTTATGACGTCCCACTGCTGGGCACGGGGGCCTCCCTTCATGTTCTTCATGGTGGCCAAGTGCGGTTTAGCAGACAACATGTCTTTCGAAAGCTCAGGCATGCAGGTTTCCTCACGATGTTGTAACGATTCGTATATGGAAATATCAGAGGTGCGAGACTGAATTTGAATGGAATTTGAACCTGCTTCACTTGATTTCCCAAGCGAGCGCGTTACCACTGGGGTAAAGGATCCCACTGCCTCAAATAAATATTATTATTGTATGTAAATAAATATTGTTGTTGTATATAAATAAGTATAACTATCGTATTGCAGGAGTCCGTCGCCCAAGCGCAGGCACCGCTCGCGCTCCAAGTCGCCGCGCCGCCGCCGCCGCTCGCGCTCTCGCTCGCGCTCGCCGCGCCGCCGCCGCGATCGCGACCGGGACAGGTGACATTAGTTATATATCTACAGACATAAGAAATAAATACTAATATTCTAAAGAAAGAAAAGATTTTTTGTTTGTTTGTTTGTACCGAATAAGCTCCGAAACTACTGGACCGAGTTAGATAAAATTTGGTAAGAACATAGTTTGAGACCCTGGGAAGGACATAGAGGTTTTTAAACTGGAAATCAATCCATTAAGGAAATTAAAATTGGGATAAAAGTTTACATGGGGAATCAACCCAGGGACGAACCCGAGTGAAGCGACGGTCAGTCGCCAATTTCTAAGTAATTACATCAAACCATTGTATTTTGTTAAAGAAAATGCATTGATTCCTTTGTCTTTAATTCAAGTTCATCAATGTTCGTATTTACCACTTATTCACCACGCCGCCCGCCGCGCTGGCTAAGTGCGGGCGAAAACTTAAAACTTTGAAGGAATTCATGTTGTCATACCTCAAAGGTCTGCGCTTGCGTTATGGTTTGGATTTGTTCGTGTTTATATATGTATAAAAGTAAAATTTAATTCGAAATTAACCAACTTCCAAAATACGCAATGTATTGCAAAAACCTGATTAATCTTATTATAATATTTGAAATGGTAATTTTGTATCTCTCTAGGGACAGAGATAGAGACAAAGAGAAGAGTTACAAAGAACGAGAAGCAGAGAAAGAAAAGCAAAGGGAAAGAGAAAAAAAAGGTTTACCACCTATTAAAAAAGAAAATCTTAGCGGTAAGCTCATAAATATATTTTAATGCCATTAATTAATGTTATAAAAGTATAGATAAAATTTATTTGAAAAGATTATTATATCAGTCCATACTAATATTATAAATGTGAAAGTGTGTTTGTCCTTCTTTCACGTCGAAACGAAGAGACGGATTGGCGTGATTTTTTTGTGTGGAGATAGTTGGAGGGCTGGAGAGTGACATAGGCTACTTTTTACCTAGGGAGATTATCTAATTCCCACGGGAAAATACTTTATAATACAAAAAAATATGATCAGAATTATTATAATTCTATAAGGGGGTTAAATAGGGAATGAAAGTTTGTATGAAACTGCTTTTTTGGATATTTTTTGTAGTTTTAGCGCAAGCGAAGCCGCGGGTTCTGCTAGTAATTATATAAATAAATATACTAGAAGTTCTGCAAATAGTAGAGTAGAAATGCATTTTGAGCAGCTATTCTGCTCATCACGCTAAAAATCCTCATCAGATCTTCACTAATTTTTTATAAGATCAATTGAAAGTTATAAATAAAAAGAAAACGTGTGTGTGTACGTATGTACGCACGTAAAAAGTTATACTTCTTTGGTGTAACAGAACGAAAATAGCTAAAGATTTCATTCCATATGTTACAACTCTGTTTGTAAAAGCAATGCAGCTAACTTCATCATGTCGCTTTTTGGCTGTCGGTGTATGCGCGCATTGTAAATATTTTACTCATAATTTTTTCCAAACATGCCAAACAAGTATAAGTTCAATCTATACTAATATTATAAAGAGGTAAAGTTTGTGAGATAGTGAGTTTGTGACGTTGAAGAGGGTAATCTCTGGATCTACTGAACCGATTTAGATGAAATTTGGTAAGAAGGGAGTTTGAGACCCTGGAAAGGGCATAGGATACTCTTATCCCGGAAATCATACCTCAAGGGGGTGAAAATGGGGATGAAAGTTTGTATTGGGAGGCAAGCTAGGGACGAATCCGAACGAAGCGAGGGTGAGTCGCTAGTAAATAATAAAACGTGTCGTGACGGTCGAAGTATTACATTTTTTCCGTCTGACTCTCATTTGCTACGTGTACCAAATATATATGAAATAGGGTATATGTATGAAATAGGGAACTTCGTTTGAAAAACGCAAATAATTAATAATTATATTAATAATAATTATTATTATGGTTTAAAATAATGTTACGTTTAGCAAATAAAGATGAAAAATAAATACTTACCCTGTACATTTGAGCAAGAAGAGCACCAGCAGAGCTAGTAAATAAATAAAAAAAGGTTACACGCACAGATTTGATTCAATATAATGTGGTTGCGTGTGCGGTGTGGGCAGTGTGCAGCACGACGCTGTGGGTGGGGCACCTGTCGAAGCTGGCGACGCAGGAGGAGCTGTCGGACCTGTTCGGCGCGCACGGCGGCGTGGTCAGCATCGACGTGGTGGCGCCGCGCGGCTGCGCCTTCGTCGTCATGGAGCGCCGCCGCGACGCCGCCAAGGCGCGCGCCAAGCTCAACAAGCACAAGCTGCACTCCAAGGAGATCACCGTTAGTGGACTTTTTTTTATTGCTGAAGGCAGTGGTAGCCCAGTGGTAACGCGCTCGCTTGGGAAACCTAGTGAGCTATTTCCAACATGATTAAACCAGGGCCATGTGGTAGATTTGCTAAGTAATTTTCATTAGGGTGCCGTAGCTATAAGATGAAAACGAAATCCTTATAATTTATCCGTCAGTCCGTCCATATGTCACAGTATACATATTACTCAGAGACCGTCGGAGCTTTATTGCTGAAAGGTATGTAGGTATAACAAAAAAACCGTGTGCGTCTCTGGACGCCCAAAAGAAATGTTAACTTAAACTAATTAAAGTTAAACTATTTAATATTACAATTATTTAACTTGAGAAAAGCTCCAGTTATTACTTCAATTTTATGTATATTAATGTGATAATGTAAGGAAAGGTTAGTTATTAATAAAACGTTTTATTGATTACAAAATATATTTTATTGTATATACATATATACGTCTAGCGCTGTGGGTTAGAGTGAGAGAGGAGGAGCCTGCCTACCGCTGCCGTACGCGTGAGAGAGAGGGAAGCCAGATAGACTGCCGCCGTAACGCGTTATGTAACGAAGCGGTTAACCCTCTCATATGAAGTTATGAGTTCAATAATAGTGTTGTGTTGTGCGCGCGTAAAGGTGGCGTGGGCGGCCGGCAAGGGCGTGAAGGGGCGCGAGTGGAAGGACTACTGGGAGGCGGAGCTGGGCGTGGCGTACCTGCCGTGGGCGGCGCTGCACGCGCGCTGGCTGCTGGGCGCGCTGTCGCTGGACGCGCTCGAGGACGGCGGCGCCGTGGACGAGGACACGCTGCCGCCCTGGCTGCCGCCCAGGGTCAGTCGGACGAACAGATACAAATCTATCCCACACGAAAAAGTTGCTTATTTGTTATGCTTATGTTATGAAGTATATTTTTGTAAAGTTTCCGATGCAATCAATAGTTTTTGTGTACTAAGCTGTATAAGTTACTATAGTTTTTTAACTATCCCATGAGAACTTTAATTTTCCGGGATGAAAAGTATCTAAAATGTTAACGGAGATATTAGGTACCATCATGCAAAATTTGATTTAAATCGGTCCAACAGTTTCGGAAATTAGCCTGTACAAACAGACAGTAACAAAATAATTGAAAAAAATCTGGATTTGTTCTATTTTTTTTCTTACATCCCTATGACTCAGTTTTTAACATTTTTTCTATGTACAGACATTCGACCTCTACAGTTTTATTATATGTATAGATGTGAAAGCGTGTTCTTTTGTCCGTATTTCACGTTGAAACAGAGTAACGTATTGGTGTGATTTTTTGGGTAAAGATAGTTGGAGGGCTGGAAAGTGGCATAGGCTACTTTTTACCGCTGGAGGTTATCTCATTCCCACAGGAAAACACGTTATAATACAATCCACAATAATTCATCATATCTATGTATAATAACTATATAACTAATCGTTAAAACTTATCTAAGGACGAACCAAAGCGAAGCAAGTGTGAATAGCTAGTTTAAAAATAATCAGTGTAGTCGGTCAGTGAGTAAGCTATCACTGCCTCTATAGACACTTCTACAAAGAATGTATTTCGTAAACCAACTTTAATGTATGGGTTACATATTAATACACTCCTTATACCGCAATAGTTATTCTGTATTACGAAGAAATATGTTCATTTTTAGACAATAGTAAATATATATTGTATTGAAATAATAACAAGAAATGAAGTAAAGATGAAAAATATTATGAAGTTGATGAGTCTGAACCACCTTTAACTATTTAAGAAGTACTAGATGGTGCTAAATTAATATAAATTTTTATTGTTTAATGAAAATGAATTTATGGTCAAGCAAAAAGACGTCAGATAACGTTAACATATTACATATTAATATATTTAGAATAACCTATTACTATTGATATTGTGATTAATTAGAATATAATTCTCTATAACTAAGACAGATGTTTGGTTCCTTTGAGTTTCATTAAAGAGTTTACTCTGTATTTATTAAGTCGCAATTAGTCAATATCCAGAAGCAAATCTCAAGTACACACGTACAAGTCGTAACGTGTGTGTGTGCGTGCGCAGATAATCCCGAAGAGCCTCGGGGAGGGGCTGCCGCTGCTGGCGCCGCTGCCAGCGCCGCTGCTGCCGGCGCTGCCGCCCAGCAGCCTGCCGCTGCCGCTGCCGGCGCTGCCCGCGCTGCCGGTGCGCATGCCGCCGCCGCACGCCGGGTACGCACTTACACTGTGGATTTTTAATAACTAGTGGTCGCCACGTGGTTGAAAATCAACCATAATTCATTAAGTTTGATCGACATCGAGATTATTTTTTTCTATATATATATATATATATATATATATATATATATATATATATATATATATAGACCCTTTGATTTCCCGACCTCAGATCGCCCGGAAATTACTTTTCCTTTAATTTTTGTTATATTCACTTCCTTTTCCAATGGATTTCATCCTACTACCATATTTTTTTGTTCACTTTTTACCTTTTCACTTATAATAATATTATAATTTCATGTACTTGTCATACAGAATGGGCGGAGGCCTGCCGCCGGGACTGGGCGGCGCCGTGCAGTCGATACGACCGCCTGTGCCTGGTCAGTATACATATAATTATTATTATTTATACATATAATGATAATATATAAAATAGTAATAAAAAATAAAACTGGATAATTATTTTATTATCAATAAAATATATTACGATATTATTATATCATGCGTGCATTCGATCAAAAAACTGCTAGATATACATTCAGCGACAAAAAAATGTCCTCACCGAATGAGCGCTTATTTGAATACGCTATTAATCTATACTATAATATTATAAAGAGGTAAAGTTTGTGAGTTTGTGACGTTGTAGGGGGTAATCTCTGGATCTACTGAACCGATTTAGATGAATTTTGGTAAGAAGATAGTTTGAGACCCTGGGAAGGACATAGGATTTTTTATCCCGGAAATCATTCTTTAAGGGGGTGAAAATGGGGATGAAAGTTTGTATGGGGAAGCAAGGTAAGGACGAACCCGAGCGAAACGAGGGTGAATCGCTAGTGTATAAATATATACAAGAATAACAGATTAATCCACAGTAAGTAGGTTGTATGTATCTTTATTATTATTATTAATGTATATGTGTGTGTTGTTCCGTGGCAGGGTTGCAGCGCGACGGCGGCCTGCAGCAGGCGGGGCTGCTCGGCTTCCCGCCCGGCATGCCGCCGCAGCCAGGTACCATCCCATCTGTTTACTTACATTTTATGTTTTATTATATGATCTATATTATATTTAGTATTTTAGTTTTGTCATCGTTAATGATAATTATTATGTTTTAAAAGGAAGAAGAAAGTAATTTGAAAATTCAGCAGGTAGGTGAAAAATCAATTATACCCTATTTACTACACTTAGGGTTTGTTTTTTCAAATTTAAATGAGATCTACTCGAGCTATACCCTATCCAATAAAAATCATCGAAATCGGACTACACTGTAAAAAGTTATGCGTGGTCAAACACGTTAAAGTTTTATCTGTGAGTATGGATGTATGAAAACATTATTATTATTAATATTTTCACCTCCTTAAGGGATGATTTTCGGGATAAAAAGTATCTTATGTCCTTCCCAGGGTCTCAAACTATCTTCTTACCAAACTTCATCTTAATCGATTCAGTAGATCCAGAGATTACCCCCTACAACGTCACAAACCCACAATTCACAATCTTCACCTCTTTATAATATTAGTATAATCGTCATATATATGTACATACATACTTAATTAACTGGACTGCGCCCTAACGTTATTATGGTCTCGATTAATTGCATGTCTATAAATAGATGAGTTTTGACGATAAATTATAACAATTGTTCTATCAAATTGAATTTTTTGGAAGCCTTTTGAGTGGTATTAAAATAGTTTAAAACAAATAAGAATCACATAATGTCATTATTTTATTTCCATATATTGGTTTTCATTTCATTTTTTTATTAATGATTAAGTGATATCTAATATAGAATATTGCTTTGGCTAGTTAGAGCAGCGGTTCCCAAATGGTCTTCCGCGGAACCCTAGGGTTCGGTGATAGGGCACAGGGGTTCAGAGTTCAGTCCGAGAGTTAAATAAAACCTCAAACATAAAGACTTATTTTAGTAGTATTATAAATAAATATGTGAAAAAATTTCATTCACCTCATTAAATATTTTAGGTACAGTAAATATTTTATTTAAGTATTAATATTTTTCATTTATGATTTGTTCCTTCAAGTCAAACAAGAAAGTATCCTAACTACAACACAATCAGTTTAGCATTTATTAGTTATTATGAAATAGGGTTCCGTGGCTAAAAAAATTGTTTGTGTTCGTGAGCAAAGTAATATGATGAAGACAAACCATTCACAGAGTGCAGATGCTTACTGCCGCTGAACGAGAGTGTTGCAGGTTTTCTGTAGCACTCTCCGGAGGGGCAGCTATTCTGTACTATGCTATACATTATGGCTCTGATTATTTTGCACTATTATCTATGAAAATAAATAAAATTGTAGTGTCTGTATTAAATTGTTAATTGATGATTAATTAAAATGTTAAGTAATTGTGTGTACATGTCTACAGGTATGGTGGGCGGGTTCCTGAGCGGGTTGATGGGCGTGGGCGTGGGCATGAACGTGGGCGGGCTAGTACTGCCGCTGCACCACCACGGCCTGCCGCCGACGCCCGTGCAGCATGCCCCTGTGAGTACTCTGCTTTATCACTGTATTTATTTATGTATGTAGTATTTCTAGATACTTTTTGTATTAAACTAATCTAAATGTCATAGTCAATACTATTTTCCCTATGGCTTCTCTTAAAGCGATTGGGATGGCCATAGTGAAAAAAACCATCGTGAGGGAATCTTTATGTCTGAAAGAACCTGGCTAGTTTTCAAAAGTACTTGGCCTGTGTAGTGAACTATAATAATTACATTGATAATTTTATTGTATAATAAAATGAATGTAAATAATTACTGAAATCTTAGATTATACTTAAAAATAACAATCGATTATTTCCAATTACTTTCAAATATTGACTATACCCACCTTATAATCACTCTATAATATAAAACAAAGACGTGATATAACGTGAAAACTGTGCAGGCGGGACGCACGGAGGCCCCCGACGATAACATGGACCTCGACACTGAGGAGCACGAGGAGCCGCCCGCCCTGCCGGCCGCGCCGCCCGCCCCGCCCGCGCTGCCCGCCGTGCCGCCCGCCCTGGCGGATGTGGCCAACATGTCGATAGATCAGGTATGGTGTTCATACTTAATATTTATTATAAATGTGAAAGCGTGTTTGCTTATCATTCTTACACGTCGAAACACAGTGACGGATTGGCGTAATTTTTTGCATGGAGATAGTTGGAGACTACAACTTCATACCAATGTGTATATATTAAGTTGGCCCAAAAAGAAACATTTTTTTTCGAGTCTTGTATGAAAGTATGTTAGTTTATCATGTTTTAAAAACCCCCTCCAAAGGTCAGTGCAAAAATTTTTTTTTAAAAGGTCGATCTAAATTTTTAAAAATTTCCAAAATCGATTTTATTTCTTTTATTTTTTTCTCGTTATTTCACTACCATCCTACAATAAAAATGATTAGGATTCTGAAATTTTCAAGTCAATATGTTAATATTTAAAGGTCGCTCAAGATTTTTTAACTTTCCAAGTACAATACTTTGCACCAACTTCTAAACATGAATATTAACGACTTTTTATTTATTTTTTCTCGAAGTTGTCATACTAAAGAATATAAATAAGGCTAGAGAGATGCAAAAAGAAATATTCGAGACGATTTTCACTATTAAACTTCTGAAAAATATTATTCAGTCATCATTCATTTTATCATTCTCTGTCTAAAATAAGAAGGTGTAACACCGCCAACTTCTAAACTCCAGGCTGTTAATGAGAATTTAACAGAAAAACCCAATGACTAGTGCATTTAATATTGAAACTTTGATCAACTGGCTTTGAAGCCGTTAACAAAATTGAATTCAATATTGGAATTATGTATTGTCTATGACGATACATTTAGCCTGTACTGTCAGTTAATTAAGGTTTTTTCTACAACGATTTATTAAGCTAAGTGGTTTAGCTAATAAATTTTGAATTTGTTCAATTTTAATTATAAGGGATGGTAATGTCAAGATGTTGCTATGGTAAATAAAGGGTGCAAAAAGATGTGATGACGAAAAACCATTCACAGAGTGCAGAAGTTTGCTGCCGCTAAAAGAGATTGTTGCAGGTTTTCTGTGGCACTCTCCGGAGGGGCAGCTATTCTGTACTATGCTATACATTATGGCTCTGATTACTTCGCACTACTCATTATTTAATATTTATTATATTTAATAACAAATCCATATAAAAATTATATTATTAACATCTATCTAACAGATACAAGCGTTACTATCGAAACCGCCGCCGGCATTCAACTCGTCAGAACCCCCACCGGGTTTCAACCCCCAGCAAGAGGCGCCACAATTCGACGCGTCACAACCCCCGCCGGACGACAAGCGCGACGACGACAGGCGCGACCGCGACAAGGACAGGCGCGACCGCGACAGGGACCGCGACCGCGACAGGCGGGAGCGCGACCGCCGCGACACCAGAGATGCGCGTGACACCCGCGACACGAGGGATGCGAGGGACACGCGTGACACCCGCGACACGAGGGAGACGCGGGATACGCGTGATCGTGACCGAAGGGATCGGGATAGAGGGCGTGAGCGGGGAAGAGAAGGAGATAGGTGAGAATAATAGCTATAGTCTATATTATACTTAAATTTGTAAATAGGTAAAGTTGTAATAAGTAATCTCTGGAACTACTAAACCGATTTAGATGAAATTTGGCAAGAAGATTGTTTTTACCCCGGAAAAAAGGGGGGACCCGTAAAACGGGGATGAAAGTTTATATGGGGAATCTACGTATCATAATATATATTATTATCATAGTAACTACAGGGCAGTATGGTTGGTTAAAACCAACCTCTTGGAAACAATTGTTTTAGCCCTGAAAACTGAGTCATTTTCAATTAACTGTTAAATTGGTTTTTAAATTGCTATGAAGTATATAAATAGTTAATTGAGTTTGCAACTAGGTGTGGTCATGGGTGGCTATTGCCATACAATATCTATGGAAAATCGCATTTAGTTATAAAATGTATGTCAATTGAATGATGAATCTACCCAAATATTTTGTTTAGACAACTTAATTACTAGATGCATCAATTATTTAGTTTTTATAAGATGTATATGTATAAATTAAACATATTTTTTTATTAAGTGTCTCAAGGTTGTTTTGAAATGAATTTCTTATCTATACTATAATAAAACAGTAGAGGTCGAATGTCTATACATAGCAAAAAAATGCTAAAAACCGAGTCAGGGGGATGTAAGAAGGCAAATAGAACAAATCCAGATTTTTTTCAATTTTTTTGTTTCTCCGTCTGTTTGTCTGTTTGTACGGGCTAATCTCCGAATGTATTGGACCGATTTAAATGAAATTTTGCATGGTGGTACCTTATATCCCCGGGCAACATCTTAAATACTTTTTATCCCGGAAAATTAAATAGTTCCTGTGGGATAGTTAAAAAACTATAATAAGTTATACAACTTATGCACCTAATTTAGTAAAATTTAACAGTCTGATACCTTATACTACCGGTAAACAACAGGTTACTTTTCATCCGGGAAAAATGAACGGTTCCCGTGGGAACTAATAGATCTCTATTAGTGAACCCGAGCGAACCGAGGGTGAGCTGCTAGTAAAAAATATATTTAGTGGTTTTTTTATTTTTTTAATAATTTCTTTGTTAATACATTCTTAGATTAATGTGAATAAAAATATATGATACTTGAAAACGACATGAAAATTAAAAAACTCAAAAAAATCCGAAAATAATAATATTTCTTTTTTTCAAAACTTACTATGTACCTATTTGTAAATAGACAGTGGTAACTGGTAGCCTAGTCTGTCATGTCTGAGAGAATCTAGCAAGTTTTCGAAAGACATGTTCAGTCCGCCCGCACCTGACCAACGTGTCGGACTATGAGCTGGTCCCCTTGGTACTAAAGTGAGGCCCATGATGACCAGCAGTGGGACGTTAAAAAAGCTGAATACATACTATGTTATTTAATATCATGTATTGTTTGTATCTGCCAGGGAAAGAGACGACAGACGAGACAGAGACAGGGATCGCGGGCGCCGCGACCGCGACCGCGACCGGGAGAGGTTCAACTCCAGGGACAACAATCGGTGAGTGTCATGTATATTAGACATATTTAAACGTTGGGAAATTCATTTACGCATGAGGTGTGGGACTCACCGGCTAGGCCAGTACTACCCACTAAAACCCAACAAAGCCTTCCCCCGTCTTAATGGGGCGTCGCAGGATCCCTTACGCATTCAACTACTCGGCCCCGACGGCAGGTCTGCCGAAGCAGACCACAACAACCACGGGGTTGCTCCAAGGTCCACTCTGCTGTCAGAGAAGTACCAGGAGCAACCCGCATGGTACACCGCCCCCCGAAGAGGGCCGCCTCCCACCGCCCACCGTGTGCCACAGAGGCCACCTCCTTGTGCGTGTCTTGGCTTCGCGCCCGGCTGTATTGCCGGGCACTACTGGGCCCACCCCACCACGACAAGGTGAACGCACGTTGGATGGGAGATAAAGTATAGCCTGGAATAACACGTGGGGAATTTTTATCCCGGAAAAATGTACGGTTCCCGTGGGATAGATTAGTTTTTGTCTAGAGACGAATCCGAAGTGAGGAGAGGATGAATTGCTAGTAATTCAAATTTTCTACTCAAGAATGATAAATTTATGTATTAAATTTCCCTTTTTCTTTAAAGAAAGTAAAACAATCCTAATGGCTAAATTGAGAATAGCAGCATGATTTGATTTTTATGCTACTATTCTAGATTTAGCCATACAGGTCGTTTACATTCTTCAAAGAATAAGGAAACTTTTATCTAGTATGTATTAGTTAAATAAATATATAATTTTGGAGAAAAAAAATATGAATAATATAAATTCTACTACATTTCTTAAGTATTACTTCTCTGTAATTAGCTTTTTTCTTTTTTTTCTTTATCATAATAATATTTGTTAGCTATTTTTATTTATTAATATTCACTTATCATTTTATTTATTAACATTACTTAATATTTATACATAATTTTAAAACATTTGTTTAGTTCTATTATACTCTGTCGACATTATTCCTTAGTCTGATGATTGATAGTGTATAGTTATTTAAACTACAGATCACGGGTTCGAGTTTTTTGTGTAGAGAAAGCAAATAAACATGTATATAATCAAAAATTGGGTCTTCATTGTTTTCACGCATCTACATTGTTATATCTGCTGTGTGATTAATTGGTTACTGCTAAGCGAGTTTGAATGCCTGGATCGAAGATGGTCTTTATTAACTTAAAAATGACATAATATTATTCTATAATGTTTACATATTTGCACAAATTAAAAACTTGCTATATTTAATACAATTGCATAATAAAAGTAAAAATTTAGTTTATATGTTTTATTCACGAATGTATATTAATACAATATTTAAAAAATAGCAGTGAAAGAACAAGTCGCGACAAGTCGCCTCTACGGTCCAATGCAGAGGCGTCGTCGGAGAAGAGTCTGCAGGAGCGGCTGTGGGAGATGGCCAACGGCAAGCCGGACGCGCCCGAGCTGCCGCCGGAAGCGCCCGAAGTGCCGCACCCGCCGCACCCGCAGCCGCCGGCAGGTACGATATTTAGGATAGATAAATGAGCGAATGCGTTATGAATTGTCAGTTTATTTATATTAGAGATTAGAGACTAGCGACTCACCCTCTACTTTACACTTGTTACGTTTTAACGTTAAGTATAGATTTCTCAGCGATGAGATATTTTTGCACCGTAAAAAGTATTCCTATATGTTGACCCGGATAACCAGCTAATAAAACCGAATTTCATCGAAATATGTTCAGTGGTTTTTTGGTGATACAGTCACAGACAGACAGACAAATATTCTAAAAACTGTAGATTCGGCCTTTGTGTCGATAATAATGTCTATTTCAATAAGATTTTCCAAAAAATATAAACAATGTATAGATTCGGCTTAGTTATAATTTTATTATATGTTTAGATGAGAAATGAATATACGGCAACTATTTAGTATCCGTTTTGGCCTTACTTTGCTATCCGGCCGGATAGCAGGTATCCGAACAAAATAATGACGCAATGGATATCTAAAAGTACGATATTTTAGTTTAAAAAACTACAAGAAAAATATATGTCTGAGGATATAATACAACGTTAACTTGTAAATGTTGAATGTTACACTTAGTAAGGTGTTGAATGTTATACTCTAGCAAACCTTTGACAAGTGTGGGTACCATACAGCTTCGAGTTAACCATAAACATAGAGAATGGACTGAGCAATACTCTCGTAAAATTGACCACTCTCTAGAAAGAGAGAAAGTGAACGTGCGGCCAATACCTGTATTTTATTCTAATTTAATTTTATAAATGAAATGTACAAAAATATATAATACTAGCGACTCCCCCTCGCTCCGCTCGAGTTCGTTCCTACTTACGTTTTATCGTTTTGTATAGATTTCTCAGAAATGAGATATTTTCCCGCAGTAAAATGTATCCTATGTGTTGACCCGGATAACCAGCTATCACCATACCAAATTTCATCAAAATCCCTCCAGTGGTTTTTCTGTGATGTGGTGACAGACAGACAAAAATTCTAAAAACTGTAGATTCAGCCTCTGTATCGATAATAATGTCTATCTATCTCAATAAGGTTTTCCAAAAAATATTTAATGTACAATATAACAATATAATGGAATGTAAAATGGTTATCAATGTTTATGTTCATCTCGAGAAGTCTTCTGACCGCACATTCGTTTCGTCTCTGTCGCGCTTGTCCGTTATTTATTAGTTATCATGTGCGCGACACGTGACAATACTATATTGGTAACCCATCACGTGACATGAAATCTATACGAATAACGCGTTAAGAGACACCAATACAATTTTGAATTTGAACACTACATACTATGATAGCGAATTTTTCTCTGCAAATTTCAAAACAACGCTTAAGTACTTTAATTTGATACTCGTAAGGTGTATGTCGAATTTGACAGAGTTATAATGACTATGGCGAATTTTCCGTATGTAATAAGTATAAAAAATCTTTTACAGATAACGAAGGGACTGCAGAAGAAGGAGGATGGACGCAAATACCGCCGCCTCGAGCGCTACAACCACCCGCGTTTAGAGCTGGTGAGATCTAATGTCATATTTAGAAAATATTTAAAAATTTCATTTCATTACAGATACCCTATTATCAGATACCATATTTATATAAATTTTGTGTTAATTACCCATTGTGTCCCCCTTTACGTCCACATAACTGTTGAAACCCAAGACTGACCTTGATAACCGCAAGTGATTGTAATTTTACTCTGCAAATATATCTTTTTGTATTAAGTATCTGTAAATTGCTGACACTTTAGTTGACATTTATAATAGAACTAACTAATATTAGAATAAAGAAACAAGCAATTTCAATTTGCAGAGTTAAGAATGAGAGGGCCACCGGCTCGGCAGCCAATGAGAGGTATGACTTAATCTAACCTCGCAATAAAATGTAAACATCATTTGGTTAAACCCAAAATTATCCAATTTCAGGTCCATGGATGGATGTACAAGGACCCGGACCTTTTGGACCGCGATTCAATGGAATGGGTCCATTCAATAGACCGCCATTCGAAAGACCACCCTTTGAAGGCCCTCCAATGTTTGAAAGACCGCCATTCAACCGTATGCCATTTGATGGAAATCGTCCACCATTCGATGGTCCAAGACCACCATTTGATGGTCCACGGCCACCATTTGACGGCCCTAGACCATTCGACGGACCTAGGCCGCCGTTTGATGGACCCAGACCACCATTTGACGGCCCGAGACCACCGTTTGACGGACCGAGACCTCCTTTCGATGGTCCAAGACCACCCTTCGATGGCCCACGACCTCCATTTGACGGGCCTAGGCAATATGATGGTTTTGAAGGAGAGAGGCCCTTCGATGGACCAAGATACGACGGTCCGCCAGAATTTTATGATCGTGGCAATAGAAGATACGACGATAGGGAATTCAATGATCGAGGCTGGAATGCGGATAGAGAAAGAGATTGGGATAGAAGAAATGAATGGGATGATAGAAGAAGAGATAGGAGAGTAAGAGAACACGACGATAGATTTAGAGATAGAAATGATAGAAGACGCACCTTTGAAGAAAGGCCTAGAGACCAACAGCCTAGGGACCAGACTAGAGACCAACAGTCCAGAGACCAGCCTAAAGATCAGTCTAAGGAACAGGCTCGAGACCAGCCCAGTAGGCCGCCCCGAGAGGAGAGGAACCCACGACGAGATAAAGACAGAAAGTCAAGATGGGGGGCTGCTGAAGAGAGTAATACAAGCGAAGAGAAACCAGAGGAGGACAAAGTCAATGAGAACCCTAGTGACAGTCAGACGGACAAAGAGGATCGAATCAATCCTAGTCAAGAAGAACAAAGTGTACAAGATAGTGCTAGTGAAATTATCCAAAATGAACTGCAACCAGAGGAGAGTAATGATAAATATGATCCAATGGATGACGAAGAGTCTAATGACACTGAACAAATCACGCAAAGTGAAGAAAAACAAGAGAGTGGTGACAGTGAAGAAAATTATGAAAGAGAACCAGTTGAGCCAATAGACAATAACTATCCGTCATTAGACCTCTATGATACAAACGAAGCCATAGACACTAGCTTCGCGATACCACCTCGTAACGAGTCGCCGCCACCTGAATTGGATAAAACAAGTCATGAACACACAGAGACGACGGAATCTGAAGATATATTCGGTCAAGAACCGGAACCTGAAGCAGAACAGGAATCGGAACCGGAACCAGAACCAGAGCCGGAACCGGAAAGAGTGGAAACGACAATAGAACAAATGGATACTATTGAAGAGAAGAAAGACGCTTGACACCGAAGACGGTGGAAATATGGATATTTCCAGTGGAAATGATTCGGGTGACGCGATACCCGAATGCGAACCGCGGTTACCGTTACTGTTCCCGTACCGCGCGGTCTCGGTTACCGTTACCGTTTCCGTTACCGCTGTCGTTGTCTTTGATTCATTGAGCCGCGCTCACGTCCGACGCTCACCGCTATAGTACTGTAGCCGCGGGTCGCGATGCCGATATACAAAGTTCAAAATGCGCGAAATGCAGATTTACCGTTGTTTCGATTGTAAAAAAAAATAGAATTTTATACGGACTGTTTTTATTTTTAATATTAATCATAGATTAAAAATAAAGTTATTTTTTTCAAACGCGACGACAATAGCTGAAATCATTCTGCCACAAAATGTTCAATTACAGTCGGAGCAACCGTATTTCTGCACATCGTGCGTACAGTAAAATCAAACAAACGCCAAAGATTTTATTTTATATATGAAATATACGAGTGCCTTACTGGTAACGATGTTTTGTTTGTTGGAGCGGCTTCGAAGAGGAACAAGCCTCGGCGCTCAAGTGGAGTGACCCGGGCCAGGTACTGTCTGACGCGCGTCCAGAACAATTAATGCACTATATATATTATATATACATATACAACAGAGGCATTTGTTTCTCTCAATAAATCACATATATATTAAAAAAATTACTATCACTACGTCTCTTGTGTTTCACAATGCATCACATATAGAAATAATATTATTTAAAAAAATAATTATATAATAAAAAGACGTCAATCTTAATATTATAAAGATATTAATGATAAAATATATAATTATTAACATTGAAGAAGAGAATTTGATTGTTTTGTAATAATAAAAAATTGTATCCGACAAGTTTTTTATATTTGACATTAAGACATGGGATTAAAAGTGTGGTAAAAGTTAACTAGAATGATTATTTTTTTTAATTATTTACACTATAATATTTGAAAAAATTGTTTTTCTTTATTAAATAGATCTTATATTCAATTTTAGGAATCTGTGATGCATTATGAAATATAATAAGATGACGTTTACTCTGTTTTGTTGCAAATAAAGTATATAAAATTAGGGCTACGAAAAATGTTGCAATATAAAAGTTGAATAAATTCAATCGAATATTAAATATTGTTTTCATACACTGCAACATTTTTTTAATGTTCTTTTATTAAAATCTGGCACAAGTTGTACTTGGCGCGCGTCTATTTTTATATTTACTTTATTATGTCGGAATGACAATCGAGAATTTATTTCGCAAATCACAATCACAACAAAATGTACATTTTAATTTTAGTTTACATAAAAATATTTATTTTTTTATACTTCATTCCGACATAATAATAATATCGCTAGCAATGTGTGCAAAGGCCTCGACGGAGTTCGTGTCACCCGAATCAACTGGAAATATCTGGAACAATCGATCAAAACTGAGAAGACTCAAGACGTGTCGAGCGATCAAATCTCGCTCTCTTAATGGTGGTTTACAGAATCCCCCTATCGACACTTAGCTGAACTAACTTCGGCCAATAAAATCATTATTTAGTATATTTATAATGCTTAAAAGTAAACAAAGATATCTACATACGACGTATGTAATTAGAAAACTCAATGTTACTTTAAAGTCGATGGTAATTTAAGATGTGAGAAATCTAATCGCCGCCAATACTTTAAAAAAACTTGTATATTTTATACGACTATGTGAAGTAGATTTTTTTTTCAAATTTGTATCTTCTATATGAATCGGCATATCCTAGGTTATTTTTCAAACGAGCTAGAGTTCATTGTTTTATTTGTTTTCCTTTTTTTAACATATTTTGGTGGAGGTAGGCCACGTTTAGGACATTATTTCGTCTTATAAATCTAATGTAGATACTAATAAATAAATTGATAGATGTATCATTTATTATTCATCGTAAATATATTAGATTAGGTGTGTTTATAAATATTTTACATTTGAAAATATAAGATAATTCAATTGTTCGTATAATATGTAAAATATATATTAATTATATAATTAGGGGGGCTTAGAAATTTTAATAATACATGAGAAATCACATAATAGCTCATTATATAGATAGCAGATAAAAATGCATGCTTAATGTTTGTCATACTTGTGCTTGAATAAAAAAAATTGTAAAATTTCATCGAGATTTTTTGTTTGAGGAGACATTTTCAGGGATTGCGATGTCGACGAAAATTTAAATTTACTCTTCGTCGGGGTCATTTGCACGCATTGTATAGTTGCTTTGTTTTCTTGTTTGAGTTTCAGCATTTAGCTGTTCCTGATGAAACATAAGACACCGTAAGATGCCAAGAAACAGACGACGAAGAGCAATTATCAATCAAAAAATCCAAATTTCTATTTATTATTGAAGTTATACTTCTTTTGGGCGTTAGGGAAAAATTATGAGAGTAAAATTGATGCGGGCGCACTGACAGCGAAAAAGCGACATGATGAAGTTAGCTGATAACTGTCTCCGGTTCCCGTGAAAACTCATAACTTTATTCAAAGTAGTTTCTCAAATATTAATAAATCTATAACATGTGTTTTATATCATTGGAGATAAAAGATATATATTTATTTTTATTAATTTATCATTCCTTTTGTAAACAGAGAGTTTTGAAATATGGGATGAAATCTTTAGCTATTTTTGTTCTGTTATGCCAAAGAAGTGTAGCTTATTACGTGCGTACATATGTACACACGTTTTTTATTGATAAACTAGCATTTCCCGCGGCTCCGCCTGCGTTCAGATAACCAAAAACCAAACTTAGGTTTTATATATTAGTATACTCTTACTTTGTAGTTTTTCTATTTTTTCTCAGAAATGAGATGTTTTCCCGCGGTAAAAAGTATCCGTTATGTTGATCCGGATAAACCAGCTATCACTATACCAAATTTTATTAAAATCTCCAGTGGTTTTTTTTGTGATGCGGTAACAGACAGACAAAAATTCTAAAAACGATAGATTCGACCTCTGTATCGATAATACTGTCTATTTCAATAAGATTTTCCAAAAAATATTTAATGTACAGATTCGGTTAAGTTACAATTTTATTTTAAGTATAGATATCGTCTTATCCGATTTAGTGCAGAAAAGTAAGGACTGAACTACTTTGTCTTTTTCAAGAGTTTTTTAGATATTTGTCACAGCAGCTAATTACATCCAAGAGTAGTTTAAAAAAATACAAAATTTGAACCTTTGGGCTATATGAGATCATAATGTAAATAAATATATCTTCTGTAAAATACATTCCTTAAAATTATAATGAAATACTGGATATAATTAATTTACAAAAATAACAAACCCGATTTCGTAAAAAGCGCACTAAAAAAATGAGAACAAGTAGATGAAGGTATTCCTTATTTATTATTAGCATGTGTTCTTACTTTTTTTCGCTTTTTACGCAGTCGTGTTTTTTATTTTTATAAAATATTTTTATATGCCTACAGTTTTTTAAGTTTTCGTCAGTTAGACATTTCTAGTTTTATTTAACAATTTATTATCCTAAATTATATTAAAGTACTTATATATTTTTGTAATCGGCTCAAAAAATTTTTTTATACTCCACTCGATTCAGACGATAATTTTTTTTAATTATTTTTTTCGCATTTTTGTGATTTTTAATGATATGTCTGATAATCGTGCTATTAATCAACCTTGCTGTCCTTGATTTAAACTACCAGAAAGGCCCAATAAGCATACTAAAACTACTTGTTGGAAAACAAACATTTTTTATCATACATTGGTATTATTTTTTCTACTTTTCCTCGTGACTAATAGGCACAGACATTACAGGATATCTAAGAACTTCCAATATTAATTAGTTACGTATTATTGCAGTGGTCGTCAAACTGCGGCCTGTAAGGTGCGGTTCGAATTTAAGATTAGTGTGATCCGTTGCTTCCGCATGATTTTATTAGATCTTTTACTAAACTATAATCAATTAAAACAGTGACATATTATATCGGGACATATTTAAGCGGCCTAAAGTTTGTCCGACAGTGTTAAAATTTGAATTTGACAGAACAGCTACATATAATCTCATTCGTCGAATCATCAGCCTGAGCCGTTACTTAGATTTTTTTAACAAAAATCTCTATAACCATTCTAGGTCAAATGCCGAACTCTAACCCAGGACCTCTGGATCTGCAGCCAAAAATGTAAATAAGAAAGTGTTTGATTCATGCTATCCGACGTCACCAAATTGTTATACTTTCCACTAGCGACTCGCCCTCTCTTCGCTCGAGTTCGTTCCTAGCTTGCTTCCCAATACAAAATTTCATCCTCATTTTCAGCCCCTTAAGGGATGATTTCCGAGATAAAAAGTATTCTATGTGCTTCCCAGGGTCTCACGGTTCTGAAAACAGCATCTGCAGAGCGTAGGATCGAGAAATCCTACGATTTTAATAATTAGTATCTGTTAGAATGTTAATTGAAAATTACAGCAATGCTCCGCCAAGTCAAACAAAAAAGGCACAGCCGTAATCATTCCAGCCATACTCTTCTCTAAGCCATTCAGTATATTTTCGACTCCTCTGTAAATTCGTTGTGGATAATGTGGCGATTGAGCCCACGAATAAATGACAGAATTTCATACAATCTTTAATCCCCTATTTTACCAACTTAGGGCATGAATTTCGAAAAAATTTTCTTATCGGATCATCATTTAAGGAATACGTTCCTCAAATTTCAAGTTACTACGTTCAGTGGTTTAGGCTGTGTGTTGATCCATCAGTTAGTCGGGACCACCACATACAGGATGCATCCTAAATTTCAGGTGCAATACATTACACAGGTAAGATGTGAATACAATAGAAGCAAAAAAAACAGCTATAATAGAGATATCACAATAAATTGCTAACCTCAGACTGAAAGTAAATACCTGCCATACGTTCCTTTCGAAAAATCTTCCCCATTCTATTTTATTATTTTTTGTCACTCAATTTGACATTGACACTTGACAGTTGTTGTTTCGTCATCTGTGATGAAAGTTTGAACCATGGATGACAAATAAAATAGATGAATTAGTTCCGTTTGAACGATCGCTGTAATATTTTTTGTAATATTAGGATTCTTTGTTAGTTAGTAATATCTAAAAGTATGGAAAATATACAAGTTGTAACTCAAGATTTCGTTAATGTTCATATTACGAAATCTGATTGCGAAGATGCGGCTCCAGTGGAACGCCGGTTCAAAAAAAGCATCACTATTCACGAATTTAAGGTTATTATGATTCACTGCCTTTTTTTATTTTATTGTAATTCATAACAAATTGGAGATAATTCTGTAACTGCTCTACTTAAACATATACATTTAGAAGGAAATAGTTACGGTTTACTTTATCTTTTTCACTGGCAAAATCTTCGTCACTTTACAAATAAATCAAATTTCTTTTCATTTATTGAGTCCTTCAAAAAAATATACTTTTTTATTTTCTATTTAACACAGTTAAACCTAAATTGCCTTTACTCTCTAGTTTTATCTAGTTTAGAAAAATATATTGCTTTTTTTAATTAAGAATACGTTTTTGAATATATCCAATTTAATTCAATTTTAGTAAAATCTATAGATAATTAAAATATTTGCAGACAAAATTGGAACTAGTTACTGGTGGTTCGGCCGCCACAATGAAGTTAAAAGTTTATGACAACAAAAATAAATTTCTTTGTGATATTGATAATGATGAAGCCTTACTTGGATCTTATCCTATTGATGATGGAATGAGGATACATGTTGTCGACAATTTCGCTATGATTAAAGATTTTGCTGATGCAGATAGTGCTGAAAGGTAAGATTTTACTACACACAGATAATATTATGCCTTTATATTTTTAATATCAAAATTTGCAAGAAATGAAAAATGCTTGTAAGACCATATTTTTTAATTACAATTGTATTTATATATTATTTTAAAATTTAAGTAAAAAAAATATTAATACACATAATTTTTTTTTATTTGTTATAAAATGTTTACTTTTATTAGATTCCGTTTGTCTGAAGAAGAATATGAGAAGAAAGGAGATACTCTGCGTTCATTTCTACAACGTAACAAATTGGGTAAATATAATGAGGAAGACATGAAGAAACTGAAGGAACAGCAGCAGAAAGAACTAGAAGAAGAGGCTAAGTGAGTTTTTTATTATATTTTTATTTTGATTTTGTCCATTTGAATCTCAAGTCCATGACTTAAAAGTGCTGCTTGAGTACAATTATCAAATATTGTACAGAATGAAAATTCATGACATAATGTTATTATAAATTTAAATTGTCTGTATATATTGTAAATTATTATTATATTTAAATAGAGGAACTGTTGAGTTTCTTACCGGTTCTTCTCAACAGAGCTGCCTTCCGAGCCTAGGTAGCTTCTTCACAGACTTACATACTGACATTTAATTTAAATGTAAAATTGACGATTCAAAAGTGCTTGTACTGTCTATTTGAATAATGTACATTTTGATTTGATTTGGTGATTACAATAATAGTTACTCATTATTGTAACTGAATGTGAACATTGTTTGTTTTTTTTCGTATATTGACATTGGAATGGCATAAATAAAGATAAATTAATGTTTTCGTTTTAGTAAATAATATGCCTGATGATAAATAATATTGGCAAAGTTTTTTGCTATTTATTGATTTGAAAGCAACTAAAATCTAATTTTACAGTTAGTTAAAAAAAGAATATGAGTGAAAATAAACTGTTTGAGCTATGTATTGGAATTATTAGTTAATAGTGTCCAACTCCAACTGTCCATTTATATTAGTATCAACTGTCCAATCATAACTTTGTCAACTGTCCAATCATAATGATGTCAATTGTTCAATCATAATGGTGCCAACTAACCACTTTCATTGGTGTCAACTGATCACTCACGTTGGTGTCAACTGACCATTAATATAGGTGTCAACTGTCCAATCATAATGGTGTTAACTTGACTATTTATATTGGTGTCAACTAACGACTCATACTGGTGTCAACTATCCCTTCCGCGTGTGCTGTGCAGGCTGGCAGAGGCGGTGCTGGTGGGCGCGCGCTGTGAGGTGCGCGTGCCGGCGCAGGGCGCGCGGCGCGCCACCGTGCGCTACAACGGCGCGCTGGAGGGCGCGCGCGGCCTGTGGATCGGCGTGCAGTACGACGAGCCGCGCGGCAAGAATGACGGCGAGTGAGTACTGACAGCTGTCACTGTCATTACATGACTGAAGTTAGGCGCATGTGAAGTTACCCGCAGTCGGCATACAAGAAGTTAAACATATGTGAAGTTAGCTGGTAAACAAAAATATGTTTAATGTTATATTCTTGTGTATGTATAGGACAGTGCTGTGGTAGCCTAGTGATAATGCCTCGCGCTTGCTGAGTAAAACAGATTCAGATCTTGAGTCTCGCACCTCTAACATTTTTAAGTGCGAACCATTTCCCACAAAATTACTCTTGCGGTGAAGGAAAACATCGTGAGAAAACCTGCATGTCTGAGAGAACCTGGCAAGTTTTCTAAAGAAATGATCAGCCCGTTCGCACTCGGCCAGCGTGGTGGGCTATAGACTGATCCCTCCATGCCCAGCAGTGGGACGTAAAAAGGATTGACTTCAAATTTCAATGAAGGACAGACATTGACAGCAGGTTCGCTTTCTCACTTTCTGGAGAGTGGTCAATTTCATAAGAGTATTGCTCAGTCCATTCTCTACATGTATGGATGTCACATATTTAAAATGTCATTAATGAATGATTGACAAACTATCCATGCTCATATGTTTTTCCTAGTGATTGTACATATATATTTTTGTTTCAGAGTGAATGGCAAAAGATATTTCACATGTCCACCCAAATACGGCGGGTTTGTTAAGCCCATGTACGTCACGGTCGGGGACTTCCCCGTGGAGGAGTTCGACTTGGAAGACGAGATATGAGGTGTTCCACGGCGCTCACTGGATATTGCTTTAACTATATACTGCCGTGACATATCTATAACAAAAGTGAGAAAGTTAATATAGTAAAATGATATGTGTCGTAAAGTATTCTTACATTTGCCTTGTTTTCAGGATTCTCTGTATTTATTACTAGCGACTGACCCTCGCATTGATCGGGTTCGTCCCTAGTTTGATTCCGCACACAAACTTTCATCCTCATTTTTACCCTATTAGGAATGATTTCCAGGATAAAATCTATCCTACATATGTCCTTCTCAGAGTCTCAAACTATATTCTTACCAAATTTCATCAAAATTTCTCCAGTAGGTTTCTCATATACGTTACAGACAGACAGTCAAAAATTCTAAAAACTATAGATTCAGCCTCCGTATCGATAATAATGACTAAGTATTTCAATAAGGTATTCCAAAAAATATTAAATGTACAGATTCGACTCAGAATTTTATTATAATATGTAGGTATAGATATTAGTGCGAGACACGAAAATAGTATCATTTTACTATGTAATTTGAAATTTATTATTTATACCAAATAACAAATGAAATTAACCCCACGATCTCGCTGGATATGTCGCGACGGACAAGCAAATTTTTATATATATTATATATTTTCTATTTAGACAGCTAGGTGCTTATAATCTTAGTTCTAAATTCTAATACTTATATCATCGATTAAAAGATTTTGCTTAGTAATTACGGTTTTCGTTTTTACATTATTTTCAACAATTTAAAAAGAATCGTGTAGTGATAAATTATTTTTATAGCTTTTGTAGTTTTTTATATGGTTTGTAAATTATGAAGCCCTGTATATTAACAATTTTTATTCAAATTTATAATGGAGAAGCAAATGGCCTATGTGCTGTGCAATTAAGAATTAAATATTTATAAAACGCTAGCACAACCCGCGGTTACGCCCGCGTTCAATCTAAAAAAAAAACCCCTTGCTTTATGTTATACTAGCGACTCACCTTCGCTTCGCTCGGGTCGTCCCTAGCTTGCTTCCCCATACAAACTTTCATCCCCATTTTCACTGTCTTAAGGGATGATTTCCGGGATAAAAAGTATCCTATGTCCTTCCCAGGGTGTCAAACTATCTTCTTACCAAATTCATCTAAATCGGTTCCGTAGATCCAGAGATTACCCCACAATATCACAAACTTCACCTCTTTATTTTTTTTGTATTGTAGAAGTGAAAAGAATAATGTTAAAATATTGCTTAGCCCACGCTTCCCCCAGCAGTGGGATCTTAAACAGGACTGAATTATTATATTATATGCTTGGCGAGTTTTATTTTAATATTTTATTCTTTGTCACATTACACTATAAATTCACATAATAAATGCTTTTTAAAACATTCCACCTGGATATGAAAATGTCAAATATTTTTTTCTACCATTGTCCTTAGAATTAATAATACTTGTCGAGCTATGATATTACTTTTGTAATTTAATTTTATAACATGATTGAAATAAATTATAAAATATTGTATGTTTGTTTGATTCAATGTTTGATCTTCGAATTTCACTAGATATATATTTTTTAAATAAAATATCAGAATTAAAATATTTAATGGAATCTAGAAAACTCGATAAACTTGAATGAGTGGAATTTATTTATCGTTATTTGCATATTGAGCATGACGACACGTTTGTCTCAGTTCGTAGTGACCCACCCTACTTGCTGTGCCAGCGGTCGCGAGTTTGATTCCTGCTTCGTGTGATGCACACGAATGCTTGTACTCCAGTCATGGGTATTTATATTCATAAAATGTAATGTAAAAAAATATTTAAAGTTCAAAGTATCCATAACGCAATCCTCGTAGCTTACCATGGAACTAGATGGTGGTGTGTGTTAATGTCCGAACATATTTATATTTAATATCTCAACATATGTATTTAATGAGCGAATGTGGGTATAAAACTAAATATGTATAAATAAAAAAGGATATTAATCAAACGTGTGGTATGGTCATACTTATGGCGTCCAACGTGGGGCAAGACCGCATGCAATATATGTATGTACATTTATATCGGACTATTATTTGTACAATAATAAAAAAGTTTATATTATACTAGCATTGCCCGCGGCTCCGCCCAAGTTCAGATGACCAAAAAACCAAATTCTTATGTTTTACATATTAGTATACTCTTACATTGCAGTTTTTGTATTTTTTCTCAGAAATGAGACATTTTCCCGCGGTAAAAAGTATCCTATATGTTGACCCGGATAACCAGCTATCACCATACTAAATTTCATCAAAATCCCTCCAGTGGTTTTTCTGTGATGCGGTAACAGACAGACAAAAAGTCTAAAAACTATAGATTCGGCCTCTGTATCGAAAATAATGTTTATTTCCATAAGATCTTCCAAAAAATATTTAATGTACAAATTCGGCTTAGATACAATTTTATTATATGTATAGATGTGTGTAATGTGTATGTTACTCTTACGATGAAAATAAAACATTAATCATTATATAAAAAAGAAACATGATCGTATATTCTGGCCCAATCAGCTAGAATAAGTACATAAACAAAGATTTGTTCGATAAAATTCATACACTTTCTCAGGGAATTTACAAACCTTAACTCATTTATCTAGAACTTCCTCCACTTCAGTATATCGCGTCGCCAGCTGACGGGGCGAGAGTGCGGTGGCGGCTTCGTCAGTGGATCTTAGTGAGTACTCTCTCGTATATTATTGTCAAAAAATAAAACACTAATCATTATACTATAAAAATCATTTATTATCGTAATAACGTCGATCGCACACGGACTAGACAGCTAGAACTTCCTCCGCTTGAGTATGTCGGGGCGCCAGTTGACGGGGTGCGTGTCCTCGGAGGCGGCGTCGTCCTCGCGGTAGATCTTGACGGTCTTGTCGGCCTCCGCCGTGATGAGGCGCGCGCCGGAGCGGTCGAAGCTCAGCGCGAAGATGCCCGCCTCGCTGTCCATGGAGCCCGGCTGCACCGCCGCCTGCGGGGGACGGGAGGGAGGAGCCTTAATATCTATACCGGCGGTTCCCGAATGGTGGTCAAGGAACCCTACGGTTCCGTGTAAGGGTCAGTTCCGAGTTCAGTCCGAAAATTAAATAAAACGTCAGACAAGAAGTCTAATTTTAGTGCCATCTATACAGATAAATAAAATTGAAGCATGTCTATTTGTAATGTCAAAATAACAGCTTTTTACTACATGCTTATGGAATTATATACGGTATTTATATGAAAAACACTTTTTTTTTTAATTTTGTCTGCCTCTGAAACGGCTGGACTGATTTTGACGGGATTTTCACTGGAAGATAGCTGATGTTATAGGAAGTTACTAAGCTACTTTTATTTAAAAAAAAATTAGGGTTACACTCAAAAAAATTAAAACATACCTAGGGACGAACCCGAGCGAAGCGAGGATGAGTCACTAGTCATCAAATAAAAGAAAAACCCATTTCAAAATAATAAATCTAACATACCTGTAACCGTTGAAAGTTGTATCCCGTGCGCCAATCCCAGAAATACATGGTCCCGTTATCGCCCCCGCTGACCAGCACTCCCTCGGGATTCACTGCCATACAGTTCACTATAGCATTGTGTCCGGACAAATTCTGGATGAATTTTCCTTCGGGACATTTCCATTGCTTTATGTTGTCCGGGGATGCTGAAGCAAAGGTGTATAGAGAGGGATGCACTGCTATAGCACGGACTGATTTCTTGTGGTTGGTGAGAGTGCACATCGACTTGCCCGCTGCCAGGTCCCACAGACGGATTGTCGAATCGTGGGAACCTGTTATTATCTGAAATTAGGTGTGTTATGTTAGATTTAATATATTTTAATAGAAAGCTTGTTAGGTTCTTTTAGACAGGCAGGTTTCCACACAATTTCCTTCACCATAAGAGAACCTAGCAAGTTTTCGAAGGACATGTGGAGTCCGTCAACACTTGGCCAGCGTGGTGGAATATGGCCTCATCTCCCTCGTATTGAAGGGAGGCCTGTGCTCAGCGGTAGGATGTTAGAAAGGGCTGACTGGATACAATATAAAGCTTTGCAGTGTATTGTTTATAATTTAACGGTTTGATGATTCTGTAGCCACTAAACTAGTTATTATTGTTGATTTGTTATTATTACTTATAATATGTATGTCGCATATAAATTGTAAAACCCGTGAAATTAAATGATTTTTAATGATGTATTGAATGAATGATTACAATAAATACCATGGGACAATTTTAGGTATATTATAATCTCAAGATTTGATTGAGATTTTGACAATTTCACTAGTCTATACTAATATTATAAAAAGGAAAGATTTGTTTGTTTGTACTAAACAAGCTCCCAAACTACTGAACCGATTTAGATGAAATTTCATAAGAAAATAGTTTGAGACCCTGGAAAAGACATAGGATAGTTTTTATCTCGGAAATCATCTCTTAAGGGAGTGAAAATGGAGATGAAAGTTTGTATGGGGAAGCAACCTAGGGACGAACCCTCGCGTTTTTCCAATTTCCCTAGGACACATACCTGCGGCTCGGCGGCCTGGCAGGCCAGCGAGGCCACGGTGTCGGTGTGCCCCGCCAGCGTGTGCACGTTGGCCTTGGAGCGCAGGTCCCACACGCGCGCCGTGGCGTCGCGCCCCGCCGTGACCAGCACGTCCAGCGTGGGGTGCAGCGCCAGCGTGTACACCGCCGACAGGTGCCCGTGGTAGTGCCGGATCACCTGCGGACGAATACCTTAGTTATCATACGAGCAGGTTATGTTATCATGTGAACGTAGTAGTGACGGATCACCTGCGGACCATCACTTTAGTTATCGCATGAGCAGGTTATGTTATCATATGAACGTAGTAGTGACAGATCGTCTGTAGATCAGGAGCTTAGTTATCATATGAGCAGGTTATGTTATCTATATATGGTATACATCATGATCATCATCATGACGTTCAGTAAAAATTATAATAACCAAATGGTGAATATTTTTTTTATTTCAATCTGAAATCATCACAATTGGCGAAAATATTGTGCTTTATAAAGACAAATTCTCTTCCTTTTTTGAATTTGATCAATTAGAAAAGTTTACTGTCTTCTAAATAATAACATATATTGAATGACAACGACACCAATAATTTATAATTAATTAATAAAAAATAATGTAATTTTATGGATGGATGGATATTCATATTTATAGATATTAAACTATATTTTACCTTATTATATTCAAGATCCCAGCATTTGACTTGTCTGTCTTCTCCGCAACTGAACAAGTATGGGTGTCGAGATGACACCTCTAGTCCTATACAATATACATAATACAGTAATGTACATAAATCTTACAATTTAACATAAAATTTCACAATAATTCTTCACTATTTTTTCTTTTTAAACAAATATTATATTAAGCCCGTTATGTTACCTCTAACAGTGCTGACGTGTCCTGTGAGTGACACCTTCAGTTTACCGCTGGCTAAATCCCATATTTTTATAACTCTATCAGCAGCACCTAAAATAAGGTATATTGAATTATTTAAGGTATATTGATTATAAACAATGATATATTGCATGAATAATTAAATAGTTTAAACTAGGGATGTTATGGAGCTCTGTAACCATAACTGAAACTATCGGATAATACAAATTAATTTCATTTCCATAAACCGGTATAATATTATTCCTCGTCTAATCCATATCAAGATCTGAAATTTTATATCCATAACATCCCGAGTTAAAACTATACATGTAAATAAAAAAAAAAGTAAGTTTTGACTAGATGTGTTGTGTTATCACAACTTAATACACTAAATTAATGCATAAAAGCATTTTTTTGCATAAAGTATTGCTATTTATCTATTTACATAGTATATATTTCAATGTTCATATCATTTATGTTTCAAATAGAGAAAATCATGAATCATAATCAATTTTCACTTAGATTTCCAATATAAAATAAGGATATTACCTACAAGCTTTGAGTTTGTTACAATCAAAAAACTTTACTTGCCTCAGACATGAAGAATGTATTTCATATTAGATTACAGTCATTAATTAACTTATATTTTAAAAATAATTACCTGTTGCAAACCACTCGTTCCCTGGCTCTACAGCTACACATCTAACCCAACCAAGATGACCTGATATAACTCTAAACAATTTCCAGGGTGCATGCCATTTGGGTCGAGGCATGGTGGGTGCTTTTCTCGGTGCAGGGACTATGGCTGTAGGTGTTGGTGTTGCTGGAGCACTGTATGGAAGCATTGCTCCATCAGATGCAAGGGCTGCAGATTCTGCTATTTCTGTATATGTAAAATATACATATTTAAAATGTTATATTATATAGGCTATTAGTCTGTAATTAATATATTTTTACTAAGCCATTCTTTAATACTAATTTTGTGACCAACTTAATAATAAAACACGTGTTTTTATGTATTAGACAGATTCTCTGTAATTATATATCTAAATTCACATTCTTACCTGTGTCATGAGGAGTTTCTGGTCTACTTAAAGCTTCTTGTTGTTTGATTGCTTGTGCCTTTTGAACTGCTGACATTACTTGTCCATAACTGTCTCTAGCTTTTACTGCTCGCAATATTTTTTCGCTGTAAAAACTTTAAAAGTTGATTCAAGTATAACAAGGAAAACATTACACTTCCAATTTTTATAATATAGTTTAAAATGTATTCGTGTACGACGTTTATTTATTATATTCACATAGTAGAGTCAGTATTATTTAAAATTACAAACACTTACGCTTTTTCATCAATTGGCGGTAGCATACTTTGGTTAGAAATAAACATATCATGAGATCGTTTTAGAGATCTAAACACGAGTGTGTGTACAGAATGTTTAATAACTTCGTCAGCCATTTTAATTTATTAATTATTTACCACTGCTATAACATATTATTAAAGCTAAATCCCAAAAATACTATTACTCTAATATTATTTGTATGTTTTTATTTAATGATTTACAATTTCGGCGTCCACCTCGTCCTCAATTTAACTGTCAAATGTCAATCCATCTTTACTGTCAAAGTCATTGGACATAACCACAGACTGTTATAACATAGATAATTAAATTAAAATATACCTACATCTATGGTCAAATGGGGATGATTTCTCAAAAGTACAGCGCTAGACGTATCACCTATTTGTCTTGCCTTAACATTTAGTGTGAGGCTATTACAATTTATTGTGGTATTTCTTTTATATTTAGTTTTTTGCTTCTATTGTGTTCAATCCCATAAGAGGATAAAATGGGACATGAAAGTTTGTATGAAACTCAGCAATTAATATGTGGCAAAGAAGAAAAAATGAAAAATATATGTTCACCTACAGACGATTTAAGAGTTTTAAAATCACTTTCTGTTAAGTGATATCCACACAGCCTTAAATAGAAATATTGTGATTTCGCCAATTATGGTCGTCTTATTGCTTTCGCCCACAATTTCTTCAATTTTGGTCTTTTGGGAACAAATGATATTCATTTTCTTTGCATCCTGGCCCTGCGAAATTTCTCATTTTAATTAAATATTAAATAAAATGAAAATAAAACCATCCACGTTATAGAGTTTTACAATATACTGAGGATTATAGTGATCGCAGCACCTGGCAGAAGAAAAAGGCAAAATGCTTCCCCATTTGCGATGTGCCACAGCGCTACCTACATAAAAATTTACAAAGCATGAGAGAAAGTAATTATAATTTTCCAGCAGCATTTTTTTCAAAGTATATTAAATGATGTATTAGCGAAAGCATTACTATATTTTATATTTACTCTCATGGTAAGTAATGTTAATATTTTTTTTTTGCTAAATTCCATGTTGCTATGTGCCATATACATAATACATTATACCTACACTTTACTGTATGAGATACATAATATGACGGAACTATACACTCTTTACAAAAAAAGGCGGTCTTATTGCTAAAAGCAATTATTGCATAAGATGTTTTCAACAATATTTATAATTAAAAAAACATCAAATAAAGGCGAAAGAGGCTTTTCCTTATAAATATATTATTTAATTAATAATAATGGGTTACTAAAACACTCGTAGTACTCGATTCTGTAGTTTTATTTTGTATAAAATGTTTTGTTTTAGATTACAGAAAACTATTGTGTGGAAATATAAAATAAATACAAAGAGTGAGTATTTGCTAGTAATCTTACAGTAAATTACATTATAGTTAACACGTAAATTGCGGTTTAAAATGTAAGACTAGAGATTCATGAATATAAAGTTAGTCAATTATTCTAGATATAGTCTAGGCGCTAAAATGTATTTACATTGCACATCGACGGTATCATAAATATATGTTTATTTACAAAAAATAATCTTGTATAAATAAAATAAATAATAACATTTTCTTTTAACCGTTATTGTACGAAATTTTACATATTATTAATTTTTCGCTTAGGTTGAGTCCAATTTAATCCCTAATACTATGTCACAAATACGTAAAACAAGTTTAAAAAAATCTTTAAAATAAATAGTTAAATTAAAAAATCAGTACTAAAACTTGTGGTTTTCGATTAACGGTTTATACTTGAGCGGATCTACGTTAAATGTCGGGGTGAGCAAGTGTGTAAGTGGTCCTCAGACGAGTCGATCGACATTAGAGTCGCTGATCATCCACTCGTAATCGATATCTGTTGAATCGGCGACGGAAAAAACCGCGCCATTTTCGGTTCAGATGGCCGATTTCTCTGAATTGTTCGCATCACTAACGCGGCGCGAGTGTGGCGCGCGGCGGAGAGTGCGCGGTTGCAGATTCAATGGCGGGAGATTGGGCCTTTCAATTCTAGTAGGAGATGAAACTAACGGACGGTTGCCACGTCGCAATGTCTCGATACCATTTCTGAAATACTCTTCCGTTCTGTCAGAATAGCTTTCAATTAATGGGGCGGGATCTTCATATTCGACGTTGAAGTGTCTCGTGATAGTGAGGTCCTCGGGCGGTCCGAGCTTGTATAATGGTGGTTCCACACACTCGTAGTGATGGTCCTCGGTCTCGTCGTGCGGGTAGGTGTCTGCGACGAAGTGCCGTGTGCCGCGCGGAGTGAGCGCCGCCCACAGCACGCGCGAATCGAGCGCCGCGCTGCCGTAGAGAGCGTTTGAACCGCTCGCTTTTCCGGTTCCGCTTTTGCAGCCACCACGAGCTCTAGTTAGATTATTACATTTTTTTATTTATATATATGGCAGTGATTAGATTTCCTAGTGGCTTTGGAAAACTACTGTCAATAGTTACTACTATAATTAGTACTCACTAATTGAGAATCACAAAAATTAAACAAAGCACCAGGACCAGACCAAATTAACAACGAAATACTACACGAAACAATAGAAATCCTATGTCCAATACTAGCAAATATATTTAACGACATTCTCAACTATGGCAAAGTACCGAAACAATGGAACATCTCTCATATTATCCTCATACATAAGAAGGGAGATAAAAACGTTTTATCAAACTACAGGCCAATAAGTCTCATGTCAAATATATATAAAATATTTGCAAAGATTTTACTAGATCGAATAAGTAAACAACTCGACGAAAACCAACCTAGAGAACAGGCTGGCTTTAGACGAAATTTCTCTACTATCGATCATATTCATACAGTAAAACAAATTATAGAAAAGTATAGAGAATACAATAAGCCGCTCTACCTGGCGTTCATTGATTACACCAAGGCTTTCGATAGTATAAAGCACAACTCTATTTGGTGTGCACTAGAAAAGCAAGGAATAAGCAGTCTTTACATAAATATCATAAAAAATATCTATAAAGAAAGCAAAGCCAAAATTCAGTTAGAGACTCTTGGTACTGAATTTCCAATAAGTAGAGGCGTCCGGCAGGGTGACCCACTTTCACCTAAAATATTCTCAGCTGTCCTTGAAAATATATTTCAGAACTTAAACTGGTCAGATTTTGGCCTAAATATCGACGGTGTACGCTTGAACCACCTTAGATTTGCAGATGACATCGTGCTATTCGAAGAAGATCCTGTAAAGCTACAAACAATGATCCAACAACTTTCCAAACAGAGCGGCTTAGCGGGCCTGTCTATGAATATTGAAAAGACTAAATTGATGACTAACAAAAACAAAACCCAAATAAAAGTGGACAATACGTATTTAGAATATGTCGAGGATTACATATACCTAGGTCAGACCATATCACCTATTGACCTAACAACCAAGGAAATCAACAGAAGAATTGCGACAGGATGGAAAAAATATTGGTCATTAAAGGAATTCATGAAAAGTAAAATTCTAAGGATATCATTAAAAAGAAAAATATTTAACACCTGTATTCTCCCCTGTATAATATATGGATGTGAAACCTGGGCTTTAAATCATATCAACAGAGAAAAATTAAAAACGTGCCAAAGAGCAATGGAAAGAAGCATGCTTGGAATCTCTATTAAAGACAAATTAAAAAATACTTTAATAAGAGAAAAAACAGAGGTTTCTGATATCCTGAATGTAATAGACATGCAAAAATGGAGGTGGGCCGGGCACTTACAAAGGGAAAAAAATAACAAATGGAGTAAAGTTGTAACAAACTGGTATCCTAGGGGCACAAAACGTAATAGAGGTAGACAGTTTAAACGATGGGAGGATGAAATTAAAGAGACCGCAGGACCACACTGGAGAAGAGTAGCACACGACAGAAAACAATGGAAGGAGCTAGAGGAGGCCTTTGCCCATAGGCAAACTGAAATAAGAGACATCTTATAAATCTCAAAATTTAACTAAACAGACAAAAAAAAAACTACTAAAACAAAAAAAAAAAAAATAATAATAATAATACTAGAGAAGCAATAATAACAAAAATTAATACTACATAATATATTTACTATGTGTTAGCTAATACTAAAATTTATTATTGGTTTATATGCATGATGAAATGAAACTCAATGTATGGTTATCTAAATTACAAATTATTTAAAATAGTAAATTTTGTTTTTGCATATATATAAGTTAGCATTATAAAAATTATTATACTCGCAATCAGTTTTTATTGACAAGCTAATATACTAATAACAATATATGTATTTGTAATCATAGCATTCACTCTACATAGCAAAATAATAAAAGAACTAATAATATTGTATAAAATATATTCTAAATTAGGTGTACTGTTATTATATCAGCTTTATTGATGAGATACTAATTTTTGTTGTTTTATGAGTGTTATATTTACTAAGTAATATGTCATTTATGTCTGGAAAAAAATTGCATGTGTGAGTGTATAATGTCAAATTATTTTAGTAATTAAAGGCTATTTTATTTTTATTTATTTTATTATTAATTGAGAATCGGTTTAGTATGTCACCTCTACAGGTTAATCTAGATCGTGCCTCCTCTTGTCTACGTGACATTGGCGAAGTAAGCCAAAAAACAAAAAAATAAATAACTTTATTGACTGTGGATAATTGTAAAATGTACATTTAGAAGCAATATACCTAATTACAATACATAGATACTTTAATTGTTAAAGTCAGTGCTTTACCGGTATGGAATATGAACACCGTAGGTAATTATGAAAATTATAATTAAGGTACATTTGATATTGTTTTTAATTAAATTAATGTGTTAGATACTTAATTTTTTTTATGTTAAGATAGATAATGGATTTGTTAGGCTATCTGGAATTGAATTACTTAATGTAATCAAAGTAAAAATTTTGATAAAAAAATGAGAGGTGTCGTGGAAATCCTTTTAGGAACGAAGAATCTTTTGCTATCTGCCCTTGTATTGTACATATTGGAGCTCATCGAAGAAAGCGTAAAGACCTGTACAGAGTGCACACGAATTTCTTACAGCATACATTTCTTAACACTTATGATAGCCTGGTACTTATGAGTTATGATTACGTCACATTATGGGCTGCCCTTAGCTCATAATATCTGGTGACAATAATTGTCACGAATACTATGGGATCTCCAATTTTGAGAAATGTCATTATATGTGTAGGGCCTGTATGTGATCGTCTGGTACTTATGGCGATGTCACACAAGCTGCTCGTGTCCTGACGGGTGAAATATAACAATTTTTTCGTCTGGCGAATTAGAATCGCAATTCGCCAGGTGTTTCCAAAAACACTTATAATAATGAATGTAATGGTTTAAATTAATGTTACGCTTAGCGAATAAAAATGAAAAATATATACTTACTCTCTACATTTGAGCAAGAAGAGCGCCAGCAGAGCTGCGATGCAGAGGACGGCGATACAACAAGTGATGATTACCAGGAACCACGTGTCATCGTTGGTGGCCGGCTCTGAGAATATAGAAAAAAAATTAAAGCCGTCGCGGGACGCCTGGCAGATGTGAAACATCGAAATTATTTTGTACAGAAAATAGTTGTAATGTTGTTCAAAACCAATCAATCAAATTATAGAGTGCCAACGCACCAAAGTTTCCAAAGCCTGGATCCATAATCAGATTAATGATAAAACCCTATATATGTATTTTAAATTAAGCAGAATGTATCGAAAACTAGCTGCCTAAAATTGCGGTTAGCAATATGTGGTGACACAAATATATGTATATCTATTTTATGAAATTGTTAACAAAATCCGCATACCTGGGACGCACCCAAGCCAAGGGCAAGTCGCTAGTTACAAATATAAAAGACGTCTAAAGGTTGTGTAGATAATATTAGGAATATAAGTGATTTTTTAAATAAAACTAGCGGAACCCGCGGCTTCGCTTGCGTTAAAACTACAAAGAAATATCTAAAAAATAGTTTCATACAAACTTTCATTCCCTATTTTACCCCCTTATAGAATGAATTGCGAAAATGCTAAAACATGTATTTATTTAATTTTATTGAAGTGCATTAATGGCAAGTATCAAGTAATTTTGATCATAAATATTTTTTTGGATTGTATTATAACGTGTTTTCCCGTGGGATTTAGATAGCCTTCCGCGGTAAAAAGTAGCCTATATCACTCTCCAGCCCTCCAACTATCTCCACACAAAAAGTCACGTAAATCTGCCTCTCCATTTCGACGTGAAAGAAGGACAAACAAACACACTTTCACATTTATAATATTAGTATGGATGTCAATATTCGCGTAAATCTAAGAAAGAATATAAGTGAGTTGAAAATTTTCCATTCAGGCATTATAAGTACAGCTTAAGTAAAATGTAATAAGTTTAGACAACAACAACTTTTTTGAGTAACTTAGGAATTAGGATGCTTACCAAACTTACCATGTCTAGGTAATTCGTGATATTCAACGCCGGGGAACAAAGCGTTATCTTCACTGTTCGGTGTTGGCGGACACTTAGAGGCTCTGCAGGGAGGCGTGAGGTTTGCGATGTTTGCTAGGAAGGCCGGCAGCGGGGGCGGCGGCATGTGCACTATGGAGTCCGGCGGGGGACCCAGAGACAGGCATTCCGCCCCGCACGACATTCTTGAAAAAAATCTTTAAATTAGCTAAATAAATTGAATTACTGTTATATAATATGCGAAAGTTTGATTGTGTGTATGTCTGTTAGTTATTTATTCACTCTGACACGGCTGATCGATATAATACGCAGGTATATTATGAGCTGGTAAGGAGTTATTGTATTATTTTTTATACTTTTGACTTATCGTCGCTTTGCTTAGTATCATCCACTAATAAACAATAATTCCCACCCAAAAGGTAAAATAATTATTTTTAAATGATTTTAGATTTAGTGTACCATTTTTGTTGAAAAGTAATTAAACTATTTATATGGAATAAACTATGTGATATTATGTCAGTCATTGCTATGTAAAACGAGTAGGTATCTACAAATTAACAAACCAACGAAGGTACTTTCACATTTTTAGCACTGAGCATTAGCAAGGAAGAGGAGGATGACAAAATAGTATGTGTGTCTGTTTGTTGAGCTTTTGTTTCTTTTAACTTTTTTAATGTTCATTTGCATGTAAGGCTATTGTATTCAGCCCTTTTTAACGTCCCACTGCTGGGCACGGGCCTCCCTTCAATACGAGGGGGATCAGGCCACAGTCCACCACGCTGGCCGAGTGCTGGTTGGGGGACTTTACATGTCTTTCGGAAACTTGCTAGGTTCTCTCAGACATGCAGGTTTCCTCACGATGTTTTCCTTCACCGTAAGGCAAGCGGTAATCATGTTAGAAATGATTCGCGCATGAAAATATCAGAGGTGCGAGACCCGGGATTTGAACCCGCTTCACTCGGTGTCCCAAGCGAGCGCGTTACCACTGGGCTACCACTGTAAGGCTATTATTAAGTAATTAATGGTGATACTAGCGGCTAACCCTCGCTTGCTCGGGTCGCCTCTAGAAAAACTAAAACAAATCTATTCCACGGGAACCGTACATTTTTCCGGGATGAAAACTAAGCTGTGTGCTATTCCAGACTATAATCTATCTCTGTTCCAAATTACATCCACATCCGATAAACAGTTCTGGCGTGATTAACAAACAACCATCCAAACATTTAAACTTCCACATTTGTAATATTAGTAATATGTATATACATACGAGTATCTACTTAGATATAGATGTATTTTTTTTATATAAAATTAAGTTATTATAGTAGAAAAAGGGTGTCAAATTATAAAAGCTGTAATAGATTATTTAAGTATTATTTGTTGTTTCATATTAAATTATATTTTTTTTTGTTTTATTCAATTTAGTAGGCATTCACTATGATGCGTTATTTATGCCTAATACTAAGCGAACAAAATTACATTTTTTTATTCAAAATTTATGAATATACCTAATGTCAATCATTTTTGTAAAATAGTTAGTAGGCACTATGTGTCACAAGTATAACGCCTTTGATACGTCTAAATTCTAAAACCTTAGTCTCTCCCGTGACCATGATTGCTGTAAAGCATTCGAAACATCGGGAACCAAAAATCTAAATAAATTCGCGAATTAATACGGAATGATAGTTTTATTTAAAATACTTAATGTGTGTGTGTGTATTAAATAATATATAAAATAATATCTATTAAAAATGCAAGATTTTAAAATCTACAAAGAAAATAAAATTGTTTAATACAATTTATTTTATTTTGATTTTCCATGAGGAACTGCCTAGGTCTATCTTATATTTATTATTAAAACTAAAAAGATCTAACTTTAGTATGTAACACTGTACAGTTGTAACAAAAACAAAATGTCGAGGGGTAATCGATAAGAGAAAAAAATATTTAGCCCTCCCCCTTGAACTGTCTACTGAAAAGGAATTTTCTTGTACAAATTTCCGAACACGTGTTACTTAAAACTATTAATACCAAAAAATAATGTTAAATAACTCACATTATATATTTTTAAAGGATTTCCTCACAAAAAAGCAGCACTTCGTACTTATTTTGTAATACTTTCTAAAAATGGTCCATGGATGTAGAACGCAGGCGCGAACTTTGATCGCTACTAAGGTACGATGACACTTACAAAAGCAACATCAAAACAAATATGAGAATACATTGCGGATTTCCCTTAAGCTTCTATACAAGTACCACGAATAAAATGATCAATGTATAACGAACATAATAATAGCTACGTAACTAGAAAGCTTTATTGCATAGTATGAGATATTGATTCGCGCAAGCGCGGGAACTGATTTTGCGACCCTTGGCTAAGGGTATGCTATGTTATTAGGGGTTGACAAAAATATATCCATTTCTTTCCTTTGTCTAGTATTTTGTATAGGTGAGAAGAGTTTGAATATTGAGATTAAAATTTGATCTATATTAATTTGACGCCGTAATGTATAGGGCTTTTAGATATAATGATTTACCAAAGCGCTTGAGAATATGTACACCTGTAGACCTCTATTTTGTGTTAATAACCTTATTATAATACTCTTGCAAAAACTCGTGACTTTGCCTGCTAGGAAATAAAATTAAAAATCATATAAAATAGTGCTTTATACGTACGAATTAAATATTTTTTTAATTTTTGAACCATTTTTAGTCGCGGCCCCGCTCGAAACATCTATGTTGTGTGGTGGAAATGCCTAAACCTAAATTCATTATCCTTCCGAAGAACTTTAAAAATAACAATTAAATGTGGCACTCGGAGACGGCCGCGGTAAAGCTATTGCATAGCATTTTTTATCAACTTATGCAATTATAATTTTTTTTTTAATGCAGAATTTTTTTTCCTTGACTTTCTTCATTAATAAATGCACTTTGTTTATTTATATTTAAAACACTTTGTACACAAATTATACGAGTTCAGATATTCACTGTTGTACATACATAGATGATAAATACCTATACACCTATATACTTTCTCACAAACAGCTGATTACGGTAGTTTTCCAATACAACCAATGCCACCTAAAGGCTAAAATGAGCTCTTTAAATTGTGTTATATGGGGTGAGAGGAATTTTAAACAGATAAACCAATATCATGACCTGTGTAACTCTAATTTGTCAATGATAAATCCACAAGAACTTAGTGAATGTTGCGATAATTTGTGTAAAAAAACAGAACATCACGCTAGCTTAGATAAAATGTATAGCAATATTATTAACACACTATCAGCGGCCGCTAGGCGCACGTACAGTGGTAAATGTAAAAAAAGGGGAGGCTATGTTACGGGATGGAATAGGCACGTCGCGGGACCGCATTGTGAGGCGCGGCTTAAATTTCAAATGTGGATGTTAGCGGGGCAACCGACTAGTGGTCACGTTTTCAATGAAATGGTAGAGTCTAGGAGACATTTTAAGGCAAAATTAAAATGGTGTCAAAACCGACAGGAACAACTTCAAATGGACATTCTCGCGTCAGATCACTTATCCAAAGATTTTAAGAGTTTCTGGAAGAACACTAATAAAATGAAAACTAGGCCGAGTTTACCCGTGAGTGTAGATGGTCTTTCCGACCATAAAGAAATTGCTGATGCATTTAGGTCGCGCTTCACTATGCGATCACCTCTGGGTTCCACGTTGAATAAGGTGAACGATGCTGAGACTATCACGGCGAGCGGGAGTGAAAAGATTACGGAAAAAATGGTGGCACAAATAATTAAAGAAATGGTTCGTGGAAAATCACCTGGTCACGATAATCTCAGCATTGAACACTTTAAGTATGCGGGAGTTCATCTGCCTCGAGTTCTCGCACTGTTTTTCAATCTGTGTCTAAATCATTCATATTTACCGGAGCCGCTTATGCGGACTACTGTAGTACCAATAGTTAAGAACAAGACTGGTGACACGTCCGATATGAGCAATTATCGCCCCATCTCGCTTGCTACCACCGCAGCTAAAATACTTGACAGTGTGATAAATGGCAGGCTATATAAGCACGTTTCTTTGCAAGATGCCCAATTCGGCTTTAGATCAGGTCTGTCGACAGAAAGCGCTATTCTTAGTCTGAAGCATACTGTCAAGTACTATACTGCAAGGCGTACGCCGGTATATGCGTGTTTCCTGGATTTATCTAAGGCATTTGATCTTGTTTCATATGATGTACTTTGGAGCAAGTTAAAGGACGCAGGTATACCGGCGGAGTATACGTCCCTTTTGAAATACTGGTATGCTAACCAGAGAAATCAAGTAAGATGGGTCGGTGCACTGTCGGATGAATACAGATTGGAGTGCGGAGTGAGACAGGGAGGTTTGAGTTCACCCTTACTTTTCAACCTGTACATTGACCAACTCGTGGAGGAATTGAGTAACACACATGTCGGCTGTCACATTGACGACACCTGTGTCAATAATCTAAGCTACGCAGACGACATGGTCTTGCTCAGTCCTTCCATAGCCGGCTTAAGAAAACTGATAGCTACCTGTGAGACTTACGCAAAGGTGCATGGCTTAGCATACAACTCAAAAAAGAGTGAAATACTTGTGTTTAAGTGTCAAAAATTAAAACCACGCCATGTCCCGTTCGTGAGTCTAAATGGTGTATCGCTGAACGTTGTCGAGAAATTTAAGTATCTTGGTCACATCATTACTAGCGATCTACGGGATGATGATGACATTGAGAGGGAACGCAGGGCGTTGGCGGTTAGGAGCAATATGGTCGTCCGCAGATTTGCTCGGTGTACGAAGGACGTCAAAATAACACTATTTAAAGCGTTCTGTCAGTCCTTTTATACCTGTAGTTTGTGGGTGGCATATTCGCGCCGGGCCTACAACGCCTTGCGTGTGCAATATAATAATGCCTTTAGAATGCTGTTGGGGCTGTCGTGGCGTTGTAGTGCTTCAAAGATGTTCGCAGAAGCACACACAGATGGGTTTCATGCCATTATGCGCAAGAAAGCTATTTCTTTGATGCAGCGTCTACGCGATAGCAACAACAGTATTTTAAAGTGTATTTCGGCCAGAATGGACTGCCCCTTTCAGAAACACTGGATGGAGTTGGCCATTGGACTAAGATAAATAAAGAATAAATAAGTAATATTTTATGCAAAAAATACTAACAATACTAACATAGTA